AAATTATCATTATTTTATATATATATAGGCCTACATTATATATATTCTATAAATTCATGTAAAGGACATGATTGTTTTGAAAAGACAATAATTTGTATTAAATATATTTAAAATGTTATTCCTATATATATATATATTATAAAGAATAATTAAAAACATTTATATACATTTAATACAAATGATTGTCTTTTCAAATCAATCATGTCCTTTATGAATTTATGTAGAAAAAAAATTACATTGCACTATTGATAGTGATGGTGATTCAAACTCGTTTGCATGGCCATAGCGCCCTCCTATGGACCAACTCTCTCACAGCATTAATCCCTCCTGCATGTTTTTATGATTCTCCTGTTACGCAATAATCTACAAAATCTCCATCTGTTGCACATTTGTGATGATTTTATATTAAATTCATATTAATACAACGTCTCTTGTTCTGGTCTTGGAGCCTGAATACATAAAGCACAAAGCTTTAGTGGGTTTAGTGGCATAAATACAATAAAAAAAAGTAAATAAAAAAACATAGTGGGTCCATGTAGGGACATTTCACCCAAAAATTACAGTTTTGTCATCATAATCACCCTCAAGTTGTTCCAAACCTGTATGACTTTCTTTCTTCTGTTGAACTCAAACGAATATATTTTGAAGAACGGCACCCACTGACTCCCATAGTAAAAAAAAATTTTCTACTATGTAAGTCAATGGGTCCAGTTAACTGTTTGGTTACTGACATTCTTCAAAATATCTTCCTTTGTGTTCAGCAGAAGAAGAAATTCATATGGGTTTGAAACAACTTGAGGGTGAGTATATGATGACAGAATTTTCATTTTGAAGTGAAATATCCCTTTAAAATAGGTTTAACCATTAAACCATATCCAAAAGATAGATTTTCACTGATAGAAAAGCCAAAAGAGTGATGAAAAGAGTTATTCACAGACACAAGAGAGTTATTCACAGACAAACACACATACACCTGGAGAGAGTCTGGCATCGCATCAGTAATATATGTATATATATATATATATATATAATATAATGTAAGTCTTACGTGATGATTATATCATAATTATAGCCACCAGGCTGGGTTTACAACTAGAGTTTTTTTTTTAAATGTGTGTAATTCAGCTTTGCCCGTTTCTTCACACCCTCACTGTACTTCCTCAGGTCTTTAGACAATTTTGTGCCAAACATAAGCAGTTTAAAAGGTCCTTACACTAGGATCATCATGGAAGAAGAGGATTTTTTTTTAACTAAAATGCCTATATAAGGGCTATATTCAGGTCACATTTCATATGTTCACCGCAAGAACTACTGTACAAATCATCTGATCCTGATGCAACCACAGTGTCATAGCTGGCAAAATATAACAGATCCTTTCTGTAAAACAGCTAATAGGTCATTTCCTTCAAAATAGAAAATACCAGAAAATTTTGCTTTATTAAAAGTAAAACATGTAATATAGTTAATAAAATAATTTTTAATTTATGTTTATTTAATTTAATTAATTATTTATATTGTTTATTTAATTTATTTTTATTCATTTATTGTACATTATTGATTGATATATTGTAATCATACTGAAATCCTAAATAAATAATTGTATCTTTAACATACTGTATATAGTCCTCATTTCACAAACAGGGCTTAGATTAAGCCAGGATTAGGCCTTAGTTTAATTAGGACATTTAAGTAGCTTTTATAAACGTGCCTTCGAAAAGAAAAAAAACATTACTGGTGTGTGCATTTTGAGACAAAACAATGGCACTGACATATTTTAAAATAGTGCAAGTAGCTTTCAGTTCACACAACTCAAACATGCATTTTAGTCAGGAATAGGCTTAAGCCTTGTCTGTGAAACCAGGGTTTAATGTTTGACAGCCACACAAAAATAACTGTTATACTACTTCTGGAAAAAACACCCTTATAACGCCTGACATTTTTCTCTCTCTGTGACGGTGACCTTAGAAGGGAACCCCGCTGATAATAAATCGGGTTATTAGGTTAATTCAGTTCAGGACTCGCTCTGTATGTCGCTCTTCATTATAAAACGATCCTAAAGTAGACCAAGCTGTCTCTGTGTCTTCAGCTAATCATTCTTGTGTGTCTGCGGGGGGATTTATAGGAATACAGGGGTTGGACAATGAAACTGAAACACCTGGACTTTGACCACAATAATTTATTAGTGGCCATTCCTCTTCCAGAACAGCGGCCAGATCACGATGTGACACCCCAAAGTGACTCAGTAATATTCAGATCTGGTACTGTGCAGGCCATGGGAGACGTTCAACTTATCTGACACACGGAACCCCCTTCAGGGTACAATATTTAAACCATTGGGTGCACATGGTCCTCCAGAATGGTTTGGTAGTTGGCAGTGACGTGCCCATATAGCACAAGTAGTGGGCCTAGGGAAGGCCATGATATTGCAGTCTAAACCATCACTGAAACCATGCTTCACTCTGGGCAGCAACAGTCCAGTTTTACGCCTCTTTGTGGCGTCTCCACACCGTAACTCCCATGGATGTGGGAAAGACAGCGAGGGTGGACTCATCAAAGAACAATATATGTTTCAAATTGTCCGCACCCCAAGATTTTCCCTGATGGCACCAATGAAACCGACATTTGCCATTGGCACGAGTGACAAAATGTTTGGGTATAACAGCCCGACAATGAATATTGACTTTGGAGCTATTGAAGCTCCCGACAAATAGTTTTGGTGAAAACAGGAGACTCAAGGTGTGTATTTAGCTGTGGTTTTATGTTTTTTGGATGCAATCTGGGTTAGTACCTGGACATCCCTTTCAGACAGCTTCCTCTTGCATCGGCAGTTAATACTGTTGGATGTGGTTCGTCCTAAATGGTGGTATGCCGACATTAACCTGGATATAGCTCTCGATACACCACAAAGACTTGGTCACAGACGAGCCAGTGAGAAGTGCACCAACAATTTGTCCTCTTTTGATTTCTGATAAGTCTCCTATTATGTTGTGTTGATTGCAACATTTTATGTGTACATCTGTGCTATTGCTCTGCTAATTCAACCTTCACAATCTGCTCTTACAGATGTGAAGATTGTCCACCAGGTTGACCATATAAAGCCGTGTATGGAAGTAAAATAATGCCAAATGTTTTTGAAACAAAAAAAGCCTGTTGAATTGCACTATACTGAAAAAATATATGCATTGCATTAACCATGCTTGTATTTGAATGCATTGTATTTTTAGGGCTTGCATTTTTATGGGTCGAATATGAAAAAAAAGCTGTGAAAATTTCAATTCAAAACATTTCAAACACATTTTCATTATTAAAAATTCAATAATCCATGTTCACCTTTCATAGTTCACTTCCAAAATATTTAAACTGTTTAAAAATACAACCTATAATATTCAACAGGCAATTTTCTGTCCATTTTATTTTGCTTTGCAAATTCGCTTCCACAAATTCAGTGGTTCAAATTCGACAGTAAATGCAACGTTGACATCCAGGAACTGCAGGAAAAGCAGTAGATTACTGAGCATAATCTCCATCTGCTGTTAGTCGTTCTCACCAGCAGGGGGTGCAAGCGCGTGTTGTTGACGAAGACCAGAGCAACAGATGCTCAAAGGGCTTTAAACGATTCCAGACGATGAATAATGGTCTTATCAAGCGAAACGATCGGTCATTTAAAAAATAAATAACAAAGTTTAAGTTTTATAAGCTCAAATGCCCGCCTTGCTCTGTTCTGTGATGCACGTTCGTGACTCTCCTGTTCGAACTCGTTCATCAAAATGAACAAATCTTTTTTCGAGTCATTTGATTCATTTAACGACCGAAATGAACGAATTGACTCGGAAAAAGATTTGTTCATTTTGATGAACGAGTTCGAACAGGAGAGTTACACAGAACAGAGCAAGGCGAGCATGTGAGCTTATAAAACTTAAAATTTGTTTTTGTTTTTTTAAATGACCGATCGTTTCGCTTGATAAGACCTTTATTCATCGTCTGGTGTCATTTAAAACCATTTGAACAGTTTGCAGTTTGCACTGAAACTGTCATTTGGACCTTGAACCGTTTGGTGCCCAGTAAAGTGCATTATATGGAGAAAAATCCTGGAATGTTTTCATCAAAAACCTTAATTTCTTTTCGACTGAAGAAAGAAATCGCAGCTGAATCATCCAGATCCATCCATTTTCCAAACCGCTTGTCCAATGTTGTGTAAAGCTTAATATCATACAGTTATAAATTTCTTTTTAATTGATTATTCAATTGTTTAATCAAGGGACATGCTAGTTTCCATAACAGAGTTCAAGAAAAAAAAATCTTCTGGAGCTGCCAGTTTTCTAAGTTTCAAATAATTTTTTTTAAGTTTCAAACAGCAAGCACAAACAATGCAAAAGCGGCAGCCATTCCGGTGCACTCGGTGTCTGAAACTGCTCACACGTTTTCATTCACTCAAGTGGACTATATTTGTGCACTCATGTAGGGAATAATAGTGAATGAGTGATATAGGAGGTGATTTCGAACACAGCTAGGGACACTGACCGAATCTATGAACAAATACTGAAAAGTTTCAAAAGAGTCAAGTCTCTTAGATTAATCCATTAAGATGCATAACGCTGGATTAAAGGTAAAAAAAATATATATATTAAATGTACAGATGCAGATGGAGCATGTTCAATCGTATAAATGCAGATAAATCTTGCAGTCAGTCTCGCGCAGTGAGTTATGACGAGTCTCGCGACAGTTCCGCGCTATTCATCAACTTCTTCAATCCTGTTTTTTGGAGCGTCCCGAGAGTTTATCGAGATGGAGATGAAAAACAGGGGTGTTCTGAAAACCACTAAATTCAGAACTTCATGACATTCGCCCCCGAGAGCATAGACATAGTGCCTTGTACAGAAACGTATGTATACATATTTTTATATATTACCATAATGTAGAACTGAATGGTATTTTATTACTTAAACAATTCAGACTGCCGATGTATTCCCCCGTCCCGCGAGTGGTACGGTCCGCGGGGTGGCGGAAGTCTCGCTCTGCCATGTTGAGCGCTTTGTTTCTGTGAGTGAGACGCGATGATGGAGCAGAGCTGGAGCTCTTTCTTATTCCAGGTGAGAACTCTTTCTCTTAAGCACACACGCACATTCACACTCACACGCAGTCCGCGCGCCGCTCACTCATGCTGCCGGCTTGCCTGCTTCAGTCTGCTTTATGAACAGAGATATTTGAAACAGAGCAGTTGGAGCAAAACAATAGTAGATGAGTCCCGGGCGCCCAGCTGCGCTCCCTCTATAGATTTAGTAGTAACACTCAATCTCAGTGTTTACACATCTATCTCTGTAGATCTAACACTATATCCCTGTTTCCTCCTCTTATCTCTTTAGATGTAGCCTTCTATCAATCAGTTTGTTACTCTATCTCTCTCTCTTTCTGGTGATCTTTCCTTCTGTCCCCCTATATGTCTTTACTCCATCTATCCCGCTCTATTTCTCTTGTTATTCTGTCTCTGTCCTCTATCTATCTTTCCCTCTGTGGATATTTCCCCCTGTCTCTCTATCAGTTCATCCATCTCTCTATTCCTTCCTTGATCTTTCACTCTGTTTGCTCCTATATCTGTCACTATCTCTGTTCGTCCCTCTGTCTCTACCTCCATCCACCTCTCCATTAACTCTCTCTCTCTCTCTCTCTCTCTCTCTCTCTCTCTCTCTCTCTCTCATTTTCTGGAAAAGTTACAGAAATGAATATCTGAAAAAGTTATGGAAATGTCTATAGTCAATATGTCATTAATTTTTAAATAAAAAAGATTTTTATAAATTTCATTTGGACAATGTGTATAAACGTGTCTATCTATATATCAGCTTTGGGATAGCAATACATCCGAGTATAATGAGCTGCTCTGGTGACTCAGATGCTGAGGACTAGTTCACATGTAAACTCACTATGAGGTGTTCAGTTGGATTGCTCTCTTAGTCACTTGTATCCTCCAGGCTTAAGTTTAACTTTCTGCTTTTCGTTAATCCTTTTACAATGTGCATTGGCTGTTGCACCTGGTTCCTCTGTGTGTGATATTGTGGAAAATCATATCATGAGTTTTTGATGTCAGTGTATGTTCTTCTACTATAAATTACTGTGGGGCAACATGTCAGTGAAAGAGTTGTGTTTTTGATTACATGCTTTGTGTTCAGCACATGTTGAGCCATATGTGGGCTGCCTGGTGGATAAGTTTAGTTCTGCAGGTCTTTATAATTTTTTTTATTGCCTATGTAATTGTGTTTGTAAGTGTGAAAGTGAAACATACTTTAATATATGACTCTTCTGAAAAGATCCTGGTGAACATTTTTGCTATAACGTTTGCTTTAATAAACCTGATATAATATTTCCAAAAGCAATGGATGTTTGGGGTTCTGCTTTGCCCTTGAAGTTCTGCACGACTGACTGAGTCATTTCACAGTCATTACTTGGAAAGTGAGATTAGACAAGTTCGATCCTTCTAATGTGACACATGCCACCACACAAAGCCAGTTTCTTTCTGTAATGTCTATTTCTCTCCTCAATGAAAAGAGGTCTCATGAATGAATAGATCGGGCTGAAACCTGTGGCAACTGTTTCACTCTGATTGTGTGTTTGGTAGAGCATCATAGTGAATGAATGTGAAGACTTTGGGTTTTAGTCATGGACTTGGTGCGATTGCAGAAGCTGTTCTGATAGTAAACTTCAGTTTGAGGGTGAATCACTTCAGTAGGTGTTTAGTGACTGAGCAAATCATTCAGGTGTCTCAAAATGCTCTTTTTAGAAGTTGACCTGTTTTTAACGTGACTCTTGATAAACTAGTTGACAACTAATCGTTTGTTCGACAGGTAGTCTGTCATTTTGACCCATAATAACTGAGTGTAGCCTAGAGAAAGAAGAATTCCTGTAATCCATTTATCACCTAGCTGATGTAAGGTTTGTGACTCATGAGTGACGGACTCCTAAAACGTCCTTCATTTGTTGATCAGACACAGCACAGAACTGCTCCGTCATCCCCGGGGCCCATCAGCACCTTGCCTTCGGTTTTCAGAATAGCTTTAGACTTTCATTCTTACTTGTACGGAAGATGAACTTTTCATGATGAATGAATGTGCTGACGTCCGACCGGCTGGGATGTGAGTGTTGCTCATCCGAGAATGTTTTTGGAGTCAGTGCCTCTGTCGACTCACCGGAGTGGAAATGTTTGCTGGGACACTCTCTCAAATGGCAGGATGAGTTTCTTGCAGCGTCACAGTTATTGGCTGGGTGGTAGTATGATGCTTTATATCATCAAATGGTTTAAATGTGTCAACACACCAGTCTGTTATATTGTTCATACAAGAATTTATCCAAAGGTGTGGTTTTAAAATCCAACATCAAATAATCAGCTGTTTTAGTGACTTTAAATATGGCTTATATTTACAGTATTGCAGTCTTCTGTTTTTAATTGTTGAACATGATGAAAGATGATGTGGAACTGCATTTGCACTGATGCCAAATTTATCATTCATCTTTTGTTTGTGAAGTTTATTTAAAAAAAAGAAAAGAAAAAAAATGTGTATATTATATATATATATATATATATGCATTAAAATGTTATGAAATATGATAATATATATTATTTTTTCAATGTATTGATGTAAACACTTGTTTATTTAAAGTATTTAAGTCTAGATTATTGAAGAAAAAAATATTTATTTATATACATTTAATTCCTTTTCAATAAAATTTCAATTTATAGCCTTTATTTTAATGGTCTATTGACTACAATTCTATATATATATATATATATATATATATATATATGCATACATGCATAGTATACAGCCCTATATATATATATATATATATAGGGCTGTATACTATGCATGTATATATATGTGCGTGTATGTTATTTCAATACATATACATAAATACATACACAATACACAATCATTTTTTATGAATATATGTAAAATACTCTATACATCAGTTATTTAAAATATGTAACCCCATAATGTATATTACATCATTAAATGTAAACTATGAATATATTTATATAAATACGTTTATAAAGACAAAACAACATGTCCTTTTTTTAATGTATACAGTTAGCGTGATATACAATTACTCATAGCATGATGTAAGTTTGTGGTCATACCGCCCATCCCTAGTCCCAGTAAAACGCAACCTTCACGTTTCTGTGAAAATGTGTGAACTGCAGGGAGATTATGCTGTGGGATTTGTCCTTTAGGGTCTAATAGTTGTAAACAGCTGGGTTGTGTGGTGTTATGAGCTGTTTGCCTTCCCACAAGCACCCTGTTCCCTTTGTACTTTTTTTTTGCCCGTTTAATCACTCTTTCTTCTTTGCTGTTTCTTTTCAAATTCAAATTTTAGAAAGCTTTACTCGAAAATGAATTACCATGTGTTTTAGCATCCAGCTCTGGCCCGTTGCGGATCTCCATTGTGCGGCCGCTGGCTTTTCAAAACTCCTTATTCTCTCGCTGAACTCGTTTTCTCTGTTATTTACGTTACACTGACCTCAGCCTTCAGAGCCGATTTGTATCAAAATTGTCAGAGTGGCGTGAAGACGCAGCAGGGCTACAGTCATTCTGCGTCACATGCTCGTGAAGCACACACACACACACACACAGAGTGGCCTAGTCTAGACTCGCATCCCCAGACGTACCCAGTAAAACGATGACTGGTCTGGGATGCTATAGGAAGTGTGTGTGGAGATATGCAGTTCTCCTCATGAATAGAGGAACCAAACCGGAGAAGACTCCCGCACAAAGACCCCCTGCGGATCCGTGAGGGCATCCCCGCTCCGATTTGTGTCTATCACAATAGAGCAGATGAAATAAGGAGCAGAAAGAAGCATTCGTTTTTCTTGTCCTGCGTCCGCCTGCGTCGCGGTCAGTCTTGCGAGATGGATGGATGACGCTGAATGCGAGAGGTCAGGTATTTAACCCTGCCCTCTTCGTGATTGCAGAAAAGCACGCATCTTAATTGCAGTGTCCTCTTTTCACTGTGTCTGCAGAGACCAACAGCATCTCTTGCTCTTGATTAAGCATATGCAAAATTAAATATTTTAATATTTTCACTGACTGTGATAATGCATTTCCACAGTTTTTAACATTATAAAACTAGCCCTAGTTGTTTTTTCAGTTTTATAAAATGTTATGTAGGCCACATTTATAACACTATACTTTGTATTATATAACCTTGCCATTAAATTACAAAAAAAACACACACACTGCTGTGTGAGTATCTCTAACACAACAGCTGGGGGAGTTATGGCAATTTTGACATCTTTCTCTCTTCTGACCAACGCAATCAGTCTCTAGGGCTGAACAATTTAAATTATATTTAAATATATTTGAAAAATGATATCATAATTACAACCAAACCAACATACATGTTTCACATTCTTTTTGTGAGAAGAAAGCGTCTCTACAACTTCTGAAAGTGAACTGCAGTTTTTTACTGCAGCATTACATAAAAAGTATGTGTAGTTTTAATGTCAGTGTAAACCAGCGGGTTTAGGGTTTCAGGTAGGCCTACATTAGGTTTATTTAACAACAGAAATTAGAATAATCAAATGTAAAAATAAAACACTGCTTAGTCTTCACTCCATGAATTAATTATATACTGATTCTTATTAGAGCTACAAAAGTTATTCAGTCAGGAGCAGTGAGTGATTTTCTCTTTATCTTTTGTTGTTTGATTAACATTAAGCACACAGACGGCTCAGGTTTATTAGGCTGCTGTCACTTTAAGAGCTGGACGGATCCAATATATTGTTGCACACGCGGTCTCTTTCTCAACTGTTTGGTCCACTTCAGACATAACTGACTGTGTTTATACGACTGCTCACCAAGAATGGCATTTTGACATAATTTTGTGTGTATTTGGCTATATAAGCTACGGAAGAAAACTGAATTCGGGATCACGCTCTACCAGAGAGTCGGCTTCCTGTGTGCTTGAGTACTTAGTTTATGGAGTTTAATAACATTAAGCATGTCACACGTATGTAACAGTCATGTGTCCAGTCTGCTGTCTGCAACGGCCTAAAACTTGAGCTCCGTCCAAAATCACGTGCTACATTTGAATTTGAACCTACTTCGCGACCGTTAAAAAAGTATGTTATGTATAGTATGAATGTGTGTAGTATGTAATCCGGACGTACTAGATCCGGCATGTTATCATTATCATGTGACCTACCAGCGTAATTTGCGTCCCTTCACCTCCTTTCATAAATCCTCTCCTGTGGCCTCATGGAATAGTAAAGTGTCAATCGAACGTGCACTTCAGATTCTCGCCGGAAGTAGTATCATCCGGGAACTTTTCGCCTACTGTTTTTCGAACACTATGTATTCGGAGATACAACTCTGTTGGCGTACTCTTTTTCGCTTACTAGCCTATATAGTAGGGAAGTATTCAGTTTAGGATGCAGCGTTGGACTTTTTTTGTAATCTTTTGGAGTATTAAAATCATGCAGTCATCGCAATTCGCAAGTGATACCTTTGTGATATTTTTATAATTTCGATATATCGTGCAGCCCTACTCTCTACTTTTTTCCCACTGTCAGCATGCTGAAACTGTCTTTATGATGTTAAAAATATTTTTTGTAAATTAATTAGTCTGCCTCACTAATCAATTAGCTTGTAGGACGACTAATCAACCAATTCTCCTTCCTGATGCCCTCAGGCTATGTGTGTGTGTTTCCTTGGCCTCTGAGAATTGACAGGCCTTGTTGTTTTATCATGACAGGCGAAGACGTGCCCTCAGGGGCCGAGCCCTAATAATGCCACCTTTGACCTTTTGCTGACTTTGTTCTGGTTTAAAATCTACATATGATTTTGGCTCATTAGTTGTGTGCAGCGAGTGAGTTTTTTTTTTTTTTTTTTTTTTTAAACAGAGCTGGTTTGGGGCTGTTTCTCAGTTTTTGGGGGCTGTGCCTGTTTTAGATGCTCCATTGAACATCAATAGTGGGTGAACAGTGTGTTTGCCACACTTTATTGGGTCTTTTAAGGGCCTCAGGCTGTGGGAGCATTGAGAAGTCTGATTCATTTTAGCGAATCAGTTCGTTTGGGCTGTTCATAGATTCAATGTATGTGTTTGTGATTGCTGTATATTCGTTTTCCTCTCGTTTGTGCTGACGCTGTGGCTCAGAGAAGATCAGTGTCTGCTGGGGCAGGTGGTTGTGATGTAGGTTAGCAGCGAGTGTCTGTAAGCTTTTGCCCCTGGCCTTGTAAACAAATCCCTCATGCTGCTGTGTGTAAGTAAGGGAGAACTGAAGGAGTGCGTCCAGCCTCCCAGAAGCCTCAGTAAACAAACAAACATCCACCTCTGTTTCCAGGCCTGCGAGCTTGGTTTCCCTGTGTGTTGTTCATGTTGGCTGCATCCCAATTCACACTCTGTGAAAGTAAATAATTTCCTTATAATAGGACAGTACGTGCTTTTTAAGTATGTAGTACGTCAGTATCGCACGTCATAGAATTGCATCATGTTTAACTACTCTGGATTGCATTCCTTGCTTTCCATTTCTATTAGGGCTGCCGCTTTACGTTCGAAAGTCACACGAACTTCCCCAGCAAAGTGAGTAAACGTAGAAACACGCCAGATTGGCTCGTGATTTGACGGCGTTTCCCGCCAAAGTTCATTTTTACCCGCATTTGGTGGGTCGGAGGGTGTTAATCTCAATCCCTGAATGTTGCGCTCCTGTTTGTCATTGTGAACGAAACTTCACGCCAATAAATCATCAGAAATATTGCTGACGTGTTCGTCTCAAGCGCCCTCTTTACGTTCGTCCTAATGCCTGTTAGGTGTCCGTGAATTTGCCTATATTTGGTGATGATAATGGAAACGTCTTTAGACATGGAAAATCGATTTTACAATCGATTCAATAGCTATGTTTCCATCCACACGTTTTTATCCGCATTAAGTGATATCGAATGAAAAATGCCTTATGGAAACATTAAAATTCGATTGAATTTCATGAATATCGACTCAAATGAAATACGATCGGTCTCATCGGATTTTATCTTGATCGGTATACGGCTTATGCGATAAACGCGGATGGAAACGTTATTATGGTGCGATCCATTTTGCCTAGTAAAACTTTGTTCGCAAATGTCGGCTTGAATGTTGTGCAATTCGGTGAGAAAATGAATGGAAACACCTTAACATGTCTCAAATCAATTCGATATACCAATTTGATCGCAAAACAGCATGTGACGTCATTACGCACAGGTTTTTATCCGCTTTAAAGCCGTTTGATGGAGAAACACTTTCACCAGCTTTATTTGCATGAGTTTTTTTTACCGAACTTCAGATAATTCGATTGACAAGTGGATGGAAACATGGCTAATGAACACTTATGTCTCCAAAATCAAACAGGATTTTCCCACAAAAGTGACAGCCCTAATTTCTATATAATAAACATTACTGTTTGGGGTTAAATTTTAAATTAAATTAAATGTTTAAAATATTTTATGCTCACCAAGGCTGCCTTTTACTTTGATCAAAAATAGAGTAAAACATTAATATTGTAAAATATTTATTCCTCTTAGCACTTTTAAAACAGTTTAAATTTTAATGTATTTAAAATTTTTATTTATTCCTGTGATGGCAATCAGCCATTATTCCAGTCTTTAGTGTCACGTGCTGATTTTGTTCATAACTGCATTTATTTGAAATAGAAATCCTTTGTAACCTTTATTTCTTTTATAATTTATTTATGAAAGTATTGATTTAAGAAAAAATCTCAATCATGACCCCATACCTTTGAACAATAGCATCATTTCTTGATTACAGTGCTACATTTGCTGCAGTAGTAGAATCGTTTTTTTTATTTATTAAAAGGCATAAAAGCAGTTTGCCATGGTACATGAAGCTTGGTGTCATTTGAAATGCATAGAGATCTGTTTATCTAATATCAGCAGGTGTGTTGCTTATTAATTTCTGAATAAATGTTTCATATTCCTGTCCACTAATCAGAGTTGTCTAAGTGCTGAATCTCTCTTGTTTTCTTTTTTCTGTGAAGTCCTTGTCATCTCATTCACAGGTTTAGTTTGTTTGTTCCTGACCCGCTGAATCATCTCTCTTGCGTTACGGTTAATTTAGCAGTCACATGAAGAACCGGGAGCATCTCGGCAGATCGGTTTACGCCGGACAGATTTAGATTCCTCAGCGGCCCGGCGTTGTTTTTGAGTTCAGTTAATAAGAGAGAGCAGAGCACACAGGCTCTGTCCTGTACCAGGGTTCATGCCAGCATGTGCTCGATCACGACTGCAGCGTAATCTGTGTCATTAGTTTGGGGCCAGGATGACACTTTTGATAACACTGTGAATCATTCTGAATCCAGTCATTAGCCCAGCATGAATTTCTGTGTTTGAAGAGGAGAAACTTGACTCATTTGATTTAATGAGATATTTCTCAATGGAGTGCCTCATCCTCCTGCCAGCTGTCGTGTCCAGTGTGTGTTTGTATGTATGTAACGTGAGCGTGTGTGTTCATTCCTGAACTTCTGCTCATTGTTAGTCACCCCACAGGCTGCTGATGGGAACACAGAAGAACACACACACACACACAGCAACTCTGTGCAGGATGGGCTCAGGCTATATCATCTGTAATGTATCCTTGAGATCAGAGTTTTTCATCTCTGTTCAAACGTACTGGAGCCCCAGAGTAAAATACTCTCAAGAATTCTTTTTTTATCTGAGGAAAAATAAATGTGAAGACCGGTGTATCAGAGACCGCTTTCACATCTGTGTATCTGTATCGCGAATATGTGCTTGTGTGTGCGTGCATATGTATCCTATTATATTATTATATATATTATTACTTATAGTAAATAGATTTTTTTCTAATTTAAAGATTATGCCATGTTTGCTGGCTGACCTTGCTTATAGCATGTACAATTCTTTATGTATATTGGGAATACTTAAACCAGTTGTAAACCAGTAAAACAGTTTTAGACTGTCACTGGATGAAAGTTTTTTTTTAATTTTTTTTTAATTTTTTTTAAACCGACAACAAGTTTATTATGTATTATTTTTTTTAGGTCGGGATTCGGCACACAAGACAGCTGAGATTTATTTATTTATTTAATATTTAATTTATTATTTTATTATGCTGACATTTATATTTTATATAATTGTTATTATTTTATCTCATTATCATATTGCATTTTATTGTATTTTTTACTATTATGATGTTATATTATTATTATTTTTATTTAGTATTTTATACTATTATTTTTAATTGCATTTATTTGTATTTATAATGTCATCCCAATTGTTATCTGCCATAATTTTGGCCAATGCTGTAATTAAAAAATGTTGTCAGTACATCACAGTCTTTAACCTCCCTGCCCCGGTCCTGTTTTCTCTTTACAGCAGGCTAATGAAGCCCTTCACCACCAGCACCAGGTGGCCCCAAACAGCCTGCTGCCACTGCTGAACTCTGAGCCACAGGACCAGAAGCCTGTGATGCCCATTCCGCTGGACCACAAGCCCCCTGTCAGCGCAGCCGAGCTCCTCAAGGACAATGTAGCCAGCGGGACAGGGGGAGGAGGGGGTGGGAACGCTGGAGGGGGCGGTCCGATGGTCGTGGTCAAGAAAGAGCACAAGAGCAAAACGCCATTCATCTGCGGCTACTGCAACAAGGCCTTTCGTGACAGCTACCACCTTCGCCGTCATGAGTCCTGCCACACCGGCATCAAAATGGTGTCCAGACCCAAGAAGACGGCGCAGGCGGCGCCCACCATGGTCTCGCTCATCTCCACCATGGCCCGCGAGACCACGGGTGACCCTTCCTACATCTCAACCGTCGCTGGCATCCTCTCCACGCCGACCACTTCCACGTCCTCCGCTTCCACCATCATGTCCTCGACGTCCATGTCCAACGTGACCCAGCACAGTGCTCCCAAAAAGCCACCCAAGCCCGTAAAAAAGAACCACGGCTGTGAAATGTGCGGGAAAGCCTTCCGGGACGTTTACCATCTGAACCGTCACAAGCTGTCGCACTCGGACGAAAAACCATTCGAGTGTCCTATATGCCAGCAGCGCTTTAAGAGGAAAGATCGCATGACGTACCATGTGCGCTCACACGACGGAGGCGTCCATAAACCCTACGTCTGTTCTGTGTGCGGAAAGGGCTTCTCAAGGTATGTGGGGCTTTTGCATTTAATTGGATTAGATTTAATAATCAGTGTGTTTGATTTAGAAGTTAGTGGTTCAGAATTATAATGAATTGAATGATTCTGGTTCAGATTCAACTGAACAATTCTGGTTCTTTAATGATTATTTTGAGGAAGCCCCTCCCTTATTGATAATCAAAAGAGTAAGATTTTTTTTATTTTTTGAAATAAATGAACTTTTATTCAGCTAGGATGCATTAAACTAATCAAAAGTGACTGTAAAGACATTTATAATGTTACAATATATTTCTAATTCAAATAAATGTTGTTCTTTTGCTCTTTCTAATCATCAAATAATTCTTAAATGCATCGCGGTTTTCAGCAAGGTATTAGACAGCACAACTGTTTTCATTAAATCAGCATATTAGAATTCAGGAATAAATCACAGGAATAAAGTACATTTTAAAATGCAGATTTAAACTATAAACTGGTTTGGTTTGAGACAAATTTTTGAGTCTTTTTGACCGATTGATTGAAAAGAACCCGCTCATTTGATTGCGTATTGCCCTACTGGTCAGTGGTGACTATAACTTTCTTAGAATTTTTTTGCATAATTTTACATGGTAGATTTAGTAGTTCAGTATAATCTATATTGAAACCGAACAACATGAAAATCGTTTTTTTTTTTTTTTTTTTTTTTTTTTTATAAATATGATTTAAGGTTGATTTTAAATAAGAACCATTTCTTGATTCCAATCTCTACAAATAACACCATATTTTCACTTTCAACAATGCTTAAATGTATACATTAATAGCAAATATTAAAAGTAGTAATAATAACTCATTTCCATACCGCATAAAATGATGCTGTTTGTGGATTCTGATGATGTCAGTGCATTTAATACTGTCTGTTGAAATATGTGTTCAAGGCTCGAGCTGAATCCACCATCTGCTGTTCTGATGATGTTAATTTCATCTCGTTCCTATTGGCTGCCGCTGGCTGATTTATAGTTGTTGTGAATGGATCTGACTGGCTTCCTTTGTAGGGCCCAGCATGCCGAGGGTCTGCGTGAACAGAAGGAGGAGGGGGTGCTCTTATTCCTCTGTTATTCCCTCCTGTTTGTTCTGTCTTAGAGGATCAGTGCTGGGGTTTCCTTTGAGTCACTCAGGGGCCACAGACACACGGCTGCTTTAGGAGTCTCGTCTATAATGTCTCTGAATATCCAGAAAAGCATCAGAGAGGCCTCACTATCCCTGAAATTAATCCTCGGATTATTAATCACGCACTGACACAAGTCAAAGCACAGAGATGAAAAGAGCTCTGGCTGTTCCTGAGAAAACCACCTGAAACAAAATGTCCCAGTCTCCTCTGGCAGGTTGTCACGTTCATTTTTAGTGTGTTTTGTAATCCCGAATTCAGTTGTTCTCCTCCATTTTAGTCTGCTGATTTTGTTCCTAAAGTGCGATTGCAAAAAAATAAAAAATTCGTTATAATTGTGTAATATAATTGTAAGTTGTGACTGAGGTAGCAAAACTTTCAATCTAAACATTAGAAGTCATTTTACTGTCATCGAGATATTATTATAGTTTTTAGTTGAATTAGATTTTATTTGTATATGTTCCATTTCATTTTAAAGTTTTTCTTTTTGTTTAGTTTTTTCAATCTATAGTTTTCATTTTTGTTTTAGTTATTTTAGGACATCATGTTAAACTAAATGAAAATGTGAAATTTTTCCTTGGCAGCTAGCTGAAATAAGTTTCAGGGGTTTTTTTCTCAATATTTTATTTTATTTCAGGTAATTTCATTTTATTTCAAGAACACATTTTTTTTTTAATAGTTTTAACTTTGTTACTATAATAACCCTGGTTAGAAGTGTTTGTTTTACTTAGATTTTATGTTACTTTTGAATTGTTGTATCCAAATTATTGGAGAAACTCTATCGTTCAAAAGTTTGGGGTTGATAGGATTTGTTTTTTAATCTTATGCTCAGCAAAACTCCATTTGTTTTAAAGGGGTCATATAATGCCATTTTTGTACAAGCTAATATGATTCTTTAGGGTCTAAATTAAAAGTTTGTAATATACTTTAATTAAAAATTCTCATTAGTATTGTAAGAAAACACTTATTTTACCTGGTCAAAAACAGCTCTGTTTTCAGCACGCCGTTTCAGTGCATATGACTTTAAATGATAATGAGCTTCGCTCACTCCGCCCCTCTGTTCTGTGCTACACCGTTTGTAACACAATAACACAATAACCATAACGCGTTGTTCATTATAAACGTGGGATTATGAATTATATTGAGAACGTTGTACATAGAAAACATGCTGTATTGTACCCTGAGTGTAAACCGACGCATTCATCGTGAAGCGTGCAGCTAGCGATTTGCAAAGATTAATATAAATATTAATATAAAGATTAATAAAACGTTACACTCACTTTAGTTCTTCTGAAGGTTCAGCAGGAACACGAATAGGTTCCGATCCTTTATTCAGGTGCAGCTTCTCAGCAAAACCAGCTTTACACTGATCCTCGTTTATAAAGCAGTCTGGTGAGAAATGATTCGGCAAACATGAGAGCATTGACGTTGCTCGTGGGGAATATTCCCTTCGAAAACAAACTCAGCCACTGCGTCTTCAGCGGTTCGGATTTAGGAACATTAAAATGACTGCTGTGTTCGTTATTGCACCCAAGAACAGAACACCACAATCGCTTAGACGCCATTCTGCTCATAGACAGTGCTCCAGCATATCAACAATGACCGCGCCGATCCACGCGGACTATGATTGACAGGACGAGCGAGGGCGGGTCTGTTGAATCACTGCTGTCAATCAACAATCGTGGGAGGGGCTTCCGTTTTATTGACGTCACAAAAACGAACGGCTCAATTTGAGGCAGGGGAAAACATATAAGGAGATTAAAACAAAAACACTGGATGGATTTTTATCATTATATGATGGTTGTGTACAGGCACTGCCAACACACATTTCAGTACAATCAACTTGTAAAAGTGCATGTACCATTATATGACCCCTTTAAAATGTGATGTCAAAGCTAAATTTTCAGCATCATTACTCCAGTCTTAAAGGGATAGTTCACTTTGAAATTAATTTTTTATATGTTTTAGCTTACCTCAAGGGCATCCAAGATGTAGGTGTCTTTGTATCCGCAGTATTTTCAATTTTGATATTTTTAGGTCAAACCGTTCTTGTCTGTCAGTCATATAATGCAGTCCTATGGGGTCCACCTCAAAGAGCATACACAGAGAAGTCCAAATTAAACATGATTTAATGACTCGTAAATGTAAGTACACATTGATGGCCTAAGACACGAAACGAGCGGTTTGTGTGAGAAAACGAACCGTATTTATATTGTTTTTACCTCTTGTAAACACAGCCAGGTCCAAGTGATCTGACGGCGCTGGCGGTTCGGTCTTTTCCGGAAAGCACCGGAAGTGATCTCTCGCGCGTGTACGTCACTCATACAATTGTTTTATTTTTAATTTTTTTGGAATTGTTTTCTTTTACGACGGTTTAAACATCCCGAATAAGCGCAAATTAGTACCCTTTTAATTAGCCGTCTTACCTACAATCTCTGCTCTGTGTAAACAATGAGTGACGCACACGCGCGAGGTTTCACTTCCGGCGCTTTCCGGAAAAGACCGAACCGCCGGCGCCGTCAGATCACTTGGACCTGGCTGTGTTTACAAGAGGTAAAAACGATATAAATACTGTTCGTTTTCTCACACAAACCGCTCGTTTCGTGTCTTAGGCCATCAATGAGTACTTACATTTACGAGTCATTAAATCATGTTTAATTTGGACTTCTCTGTGTATGCTCTTTGAGGTGGACCCCATAGACCTGCATTATATGACTGACAGACAAGAACGGTTTGACCTAAAAATATCAAAATTGAAAATACTGCGGACACAGACACCTACATCTTGGATGCCCTTGAGGTAAGCTAAAACATATCAAAAATTAATTTCAAAGTGAACTATCCCTTTAAGAGTCACATGATCCTACAGAAATTGTTCTAATATGCTGATTTAGTCCCACGTGACGTCCCACAAACCAAATATGTTGTGATAAATTATTCTTAGAAATATATAGAAATAAACACCTCTGTGTCTCTGTGTAAGAGTGTTCTTATTTAAACATATATTACATTTGAAGACGGCATGATGAAATGTGTGCGGCTGTGCGCATACACTGTACTAGTTCAAGTTCGGAGCACTAGACTAGAGTATATCAAATATGTTCATAACTTGAAACGCTTGCTCCAATCCGGATTTGAAACTGATCCACGCTGCAAGTGTTGTTAAACTCATTGCTGTGTTTCTTGCAGTATCTCTGAGCATCGTGGGGAGAATGCAAACAACACTTTTGTGTTACTGTTCTGAGGAAACACACTTACAACGCATCCAAATGCAAAGCTGAACGCTATTCGTATTCTCCGCTGTAATACGACCTCATGCATAATACAGAACAATGATTGAATTAAGAGTTAATTCTTAGAATAGAAATAATGCGGAGGAAAGCTCAGAAACGGATGATGTAGACACGTAGTCTCCAGCCACGCCATTCAATCACCACTCCAAATTAACGCGTCGCATATACCTCACTTTTCATGACGTTGGTTCAACTTTGCTTTTTAAACTGGAATACCGAAATGGCTCAGAAAAACGAAAAAATATCTTTTCCCGGTATAATAAACATGAGTGCTATCATTGTTTTCGTTGATGTGGAGCCTGTACATATGTCAACATCTTCTAGGTTGTTGTTTATTTGTTTTTTTATTTCAGTATTTTTGCTGTTATTCTAGCTTGTTAATTTGTTATTATTATTTCAAATAAAAAATTATAATCACAAAAAGTGTTGTAGGGTTCCATTATCCTTTAATGCTGAATAAAAATGCTAAATCCTTCTTGCTGAATAAAAAAAAATCTTATTGACCCCAAACTTTGGAGCTGTAGTGTATCCCCACAAAATATGTTAATATTCAGATTGCATTCACAACAATCGCAAGTTGCATTGCAGTTCACATGAACCGAATTCTGTATGGACTCTGTATGGACTCGAGATTCATTGCTGTGCACCTCGATTTTGGAAGATGCTTTTACATTAATCAATAAACCGAATATTATAGGCCAAAGGTGTCCAATCCAGCTCCTGGAGCTAAACTCTGCAGGACAGTGGCCCCCCAGGACCGAGTTTGGTCATCCCCGTCATAGGCAATCAAACTTGAATTCAAACCAAAATCTCTAGTGTGAAAGCAACATCAGTTTGCGTTCTATTAACTGTGAACAGTGAGTAGTGCTAGTGTAGCCCAGTGTTTACTGTAAGCCACATCTGCATTAGGTTTTCTAGGTCACGGCATCTGATGAATCTGCAACTTGGAGACAAACTCGTCAAAACTGTCTCTGAGGCAAAGTACAGCACCTAAAGGCAAAACTTTTTTTTTTCTGAAGTTCACGTAGACACAGTTGATACCAGAAATCAAGTGGCTTTGTTACAGACACTATGCTGTTTTCTTCTTTGCCATGTTTTTAATTTTTCCCTCTCCTCTCAGGCCTGACCATCTCAGCTGCCACGTAAAGCATGTTCATTCCTCAGAGAGACCTTTCAAATGCCAAGTAACGGTAAGAACCAGAACCCATTCATCCCATTTATGCAGTTGCGCATCTAACAAAGCGCCTCTAGGTGCTGGTACCCAAACATGGTAGGTTTAAACTCCATAAAGGGTTAATAACGAGGACTTCTTGAAGTAAAAACGTCACACGTAAATGTTGATTAGTAATAAGTGATTCAAAGAAATATTTTGGCTGTAAATGATGTAGATCTTCATGTCTTGTGTCCATAATAGGCCTGTACATCAGCCTTTGCCACCAAAGACAGACTTCGGTCGCATATGATTCGGCACGAGGGTAAAGTCACGTGCAACGTGTGCGGAAAGATGCTGAGCGCTGCCTACATCACCAGCCACTTAAAAACACACGGCCAGACCAACTTTAACAATGCCTGTAACAAAGGTAAGTGCAACATGATTGGTTGCCCCAATCAGCCTGTAGTCTGTACGACGACGTTCCCAGCTTCTCTGGGGGACTCATGTAGCTCTAGCACCAACATCCTTCCACTAATACTCTGTTCCATCCTTTCTTCTCTTCTCCAAGCTCTTTGATGTCCCTTCAGCTCCCAAACTCTCTTACACATACTCAAGTGCACTAGTTTATGAGAGGTGACTTTATCCTGCTCAGAGTTGTTTTTTAAGAAATCTCTGAAAACCTGAGAACCGGCCAGAATGACAACGTGTTTCAATAATGCCTACAATAAATGATACCCCATTGTCTTTTTTTTTTTTAGCCCTACACTTCTTTCACAACATATTTTAACATCCACAGTATATTTAATTCAGTGTTTTCATGATATCACGGGTTATTCTGAAAACGTTTTTGCTTGGTCCCGTCCCCGTCCTTTGACTTTTGAGTTTGGTTTGAGAACAACATACTTTAGGGGCTAGAGCGGAGTCCATTTTTAAGCCCAGAGCTCTTTCTGAGATGGAGGAATGGTTCAGGTTGGTGGAAAAAGGTCTTCTTAGGAAGCACAAAGAATCGTGTGAGTGAAGTCTCTGTAAAGTGGGCATTAGGGGCATTTAAAGCAATTATTTTTGAGTACTGGAATGATACTTGAACATGGCTGCTGGGATTTCTCGAGCCAGAAGCCCTTTCCCAGTAATATTGCGTTTATTTTTGTGAAGTTTTTTGAACTCTGGTTGTGCATTCCATCATATTTCATTGGTCATGGCATTTGATTTGTATGTTCAGAGATTAAATTAGTCAAGCATATCAGTGGAGGAGGCCAGTGCTTTGCTTTAGGCAGAAACTGCTCTGACAGAACCGGATCCTTTCTGAGGACAACAGGGTCAGGAAAAGGTCTAATCTAGATCTAATGCAAGGATGTAAAGCAGTCAGCAGTACTCAGGAAATGTGTTCTGTCATTTACTTGAAGGAGTATTTAAGGAGTGGAGTTCCTTCAAATTCATACTTGTGGTCTCAGAACTGTTGTGCTATTTAGTGATAGGTGCCATTATCTTTGCTTGGATATTTTTCATGAATTAACCCACTGATCCCCATTCCATGATCCATCTCTGTCATGTAGTTTATTTTTTTATTTTTTTTTATTTTTTACATTTCTGTCTGCTTTGAAAGTGATTAGCTATTTTTTTGTTTTGTTTTTTGTTGACTGATTCTTGTAGATTGTTTTTTTGTTGTTTTTTTTGTAGAAAGTTTATTGTATATTTTAATAGCCAAAACTATTTGTACGGGTTTCAAAACAAATTGCCAGATTTTATTGACAGCATCTGTGACTATGCCTTTGATTACCACAGAATATTATTTTGTAATTCTATTATATTAAGAAGTATATTTATAATATTTTAATAGTTTTCTCTCACCTCAAATTGTTTGCAATTTATATATATATATATATATATATATTCATTTTTATAATATATTTTTTGTAATATTAATATAAAGGGTATAATGATAATTTTGTCTTTTGCCTCCAAGACATATTGATAATATTGTATAATTTATTATATTATAGTAATTATATTATTACACCTACATTTACAAATATTTTTGTCTTTTGCCACAGTTAATTTTTTTTTTTAATATTATATAATTTATTATATTATATATTTATTATATTATGGTATATTTAATAGAAATACATTGTTTGTAATGCCCTTACAATGAACATCTGTGGAGCAGGTCATTCTGACGGTTTTCTATGAAGAATTTTTGCAAACTGATGGACGAGTTTTAGTTTTTCTGTGCTAAATGTCAACATGCCATTCATGCTGTCAATAGAGTTTAACCTGTTTTGAACCTGCAACATTTACATTAAATTGTTTCTGTTGAATTAGATAAAAGGGCTTGAATCTGTTTATGATGATAATGAACAAATATCTCCTTTTATAAAATGATATTCATGTCTGAATTCGCACTAAGCATAAATACTGCAGCCCTGCATTGCTAAAAGTCCCATAATGCATCACTGCAGGCAGCTGCCTCCCCATCATAACCCTCTGTCTATTTCTAAATAGGAGACTGGCAGTGGAACCACTCAGGGCTCCGAAAAGGTAAAAATGAAACAAAACAAAAAAGGTGGAAAAGCAGATACACACACACAGTAACAGTTTGCTCTCTTCCGTCTCCGCTGTTACCAAATGAAGTTCGATCACAAATGCTCACATATGTCTACAGGTTCCTTTACATCATTTGACACACCAGTCTAGACACCCAGAGAGTTTGGGAGTGGAATACACACAAACCCTGAACACACGTATTAAACGCTTCTCCTGTCTCTTTCTCCGTGCTCTACAGACAACACTGAAGTCTGCAACTCTGCCTCCTCCACACCGGTCTCGGTCTCGTCCCCCATCACCACTGCAATGAACCGTGGCCACACCAGCAACCCCGTTACCATAGCAGCCCAGATGAACATCTCCACCAACACGGTCAATATCACATCTCCCATCAGCCTGCAGCACCCGGTTACCATCACCGGCCCTGTGAACATCGCCTCCGTCAACATCCCAGCCTCAGCGCCCATGAACATCGCCCACCCGGTGGCCATCACAACACCCATGTCCATGAACATCGGCGGCCCGCTCAACATCGCCATGAGATCAATGGACAGCATGTCCTTCCTGTCCCAAGTCCTGCCGTCTTCTCCCTGGTAGAACCGGCCCCTGACCAGCCTTTTTGCCCTGCCCTCTGTGTGACTGACACCTGTGTGGCGTGAACAAACCCATCCTGTGGCAACTCTGGTGGAAGAGTAGCCCGGGTTGATCCAACTCTCTCCGGCCTTTGGATACGTTTGCATTTTGCGCGCAAGGTGAGCAGCTCGGTAGCGGGGCATTTCGCAAGCTCCTCTGAGCACTTCAAACCCCGACGGACGTTTTTAAGGACAAATGCAATAATCGATGTGCATTTCGAACACTTTTTTTATAAGCAGAGTGCCGATGGGTTCTTCAATGATGTTGAGGCGTGATCAGTATTTAAGAAAATTCATTAGAAAGTGACTTTAGCTTCCATTGGGAGGGAGGATTTTTAAAATATTTTTTGTATTATTTTGAGTGCGTATGTCCGTGTAGCAACTTTGAAGAGGTACAGTTGAAAACAATTTTTGTTTTCTTTATTAATAGTGTTCGGCAGGTCACGGTTTACGACTTTTTAGTTTGTCTGAGGGGAGGGCAGCTTCCTTTTCTTATTGTTTACGTCGCCATCGTTAGCTTTTGCATACAAAAGAAAACGTTTGGAGGAAGGAAAGAGAGTCTTGCACTGAAAGCATATCCCTAGTCTAAAGAGGCAGTATTATCTAAATATAAATATCATGATAGTATGGCCCTGTCCAAAATTGCGCACTTGATGTGGTTGCTGTGGTTTCCGTGAAGTCCATGAAGACCGTAGGGTGTCCCCTTTGTCATTTTATGGGTGAGAAAGGTGGTCCAGAGCGCCCCATTTGCACACTGGTGCGGACTTCCAAGCATTCTACTAAGTCTGTGGAGCATTACTTCACCAAAGTTTGGATTCTGAGGAGTCAAGTACGCCATTTGGGACAGGGTTTATGAACTGTAGATAACCAGCTCGTTCAAAACAGGGCCATCTAGAGGTTGGAGTCACGCATTGACACCCTTTAATTTGAACTTTTGTTGCCTGATTTTGTTGCTAAAAGTATTTTATAACCTCGTTTTTTGTATTTTTAAATGATTTTTGCAAGATCCCTGTTCTAGAAATAGCCTGAGCATAGGAAATGAACATGAATAATTCCAGGAAACTGATTTGGAATTATTCATGTTTGTTTGTAAATATAGTTTATTTTGATTTAATTTAGCTTTATTTTAGGTTTTATTTTTTGTTGTTTTTAGATTTTATTGTTTGTTTTTTTCGGTGTATTTTGTATGTTTTAGGTTTTATTTAGCTTTTTGTTTGTTTTTTGATTCATTAGTTTGATCTTTTTGTTTAATGTTTTTGTATGTTTTAGGTTATATTTTGTTTTAGATTTTTTTTCTTTTATTTATATATATATATATATATATATAAAATATATATATATATTTTTTTAGGTTTGTTTTTGTTTTGTAGTTATTTTACCTGTTATTTTCACAGCGGCACCATCCTGCTCATTTTATTTGCTTCCAGTGATTTAATATTGAATCTTTTTTTTCCAGTGGTTTGGACTCTGTAGGTTGGTAGTATATTGCTGTAGCTAAAGCCCAGAAGCACCATTTACCATAAAAGCACGTCTTCAGTCTGAAATAAAGAAGAATGTTTACAGACTGCTTCTGGAAATTTCTAGACTGGTGGGTGGTTACATGCCGATCTGTTCGAACTGAAGAGTTTTATAATTTTGTGTTAATGAGAACACATTTAACAGTATAAGTAGGAAGAGTGAGCTGCCACTCACTACACGGATCTGCCACCAATGTGATGGAAATTTAGGTACATTTTGTCAGCCACTTCCTGTGGATGGAGCAGATGCCAGAGAGAAGAGACTGCTGTAGTGAAAACACTAATTATTCGACTTGTATGCAATTTTTTGTGGGTAGTTTTCCCGCCACAGCCTGTGATGTGATGTGTCTGAATGGATGCCGTCCACCCCAGCACTGAGTCTCAGGAAGGGGATGCTTCATCCTGATCAGACACAATGAATCCCTGATCCGTGTGCGTGTGTGCGTGCGTGCGTGCGTGCGTGCGTGTGTGTGTGTGTGTGTGTGTGTGCGCGCGTGAGCCGTTTGATTCTCCCGTCACACTAGAACAAACAAAAGCATGTTTCCATAGTTTAGTTTGTGGGGGAGAGTCAGAATGAGCGTTTATGCATTTCTTTAGTAGATGCATTATAATTGCCTTTTATTTGCCAAATTCAAACCAATTATGAAATCCAATGAAGTGAAGTTATTTGAATTGAGTCTAATGTTGTTTTGATTCAGTTGATGAACTGGATGATTTTTGGAGCCCCTGTGAAAGCGGTTGAATGTATATGTTTGTACAGAAGTGTTTAGCTCAGAGGATCTTAGCGTACAGATAGACGTGAGCGAAGAAAAGCAAAATAACCTTTTATAAAACTTTTGTATTAGTACATTAACAATGGTAATTTTGTATATACGAAGGCTAGGCTTTCTGAGTAGCAGAAAGAAAAACATTCCTACATTTTTTTTAATGTAAGTTTGTCAGAAATAATTATGTAAACATGCGCAATGTTTTATGTGCCTTTTTATTTGGGTTGTCTAAATAAAAAACTGTAAAACATGATGGCTGTATGTGCATTTAAGCGAGGTCTACCAGCGTTTATTGTCAATAATTATGAAATGTAGTACCTAAAATTGAAAACGAATCCACCTAGATTTTTGTCTGCATGATAAAACTGATACCTCATGTTAACATTTAATTTTTTATTACATTCTTGGCCTCTTCACACATGTACCTTGTTTTGTTTTGGGGGGTTTTATGACCAAAATGTTTTATTGTTTTTCAAACATAATGAAAGCTAATGCACATAGAAATATATTCCATCAACTATCGGATATTTATGAAAAAGGAAGGGAACAACAAATGTACCTTGTTTTATTTTGTTTGTTTGTTTAACAGGGACAATACACTAGGCATTGTTACACACAGACAACCGATGCCGTGTTCATAGGCCATATAGCATAAAACATAAAGCTAATTTGCGGCCCTTGTCCCTGATTCCCGGCAGTCATGGAAAACCAAGAAATAGCATCGAGTTTGAGATTTTTTTATGTAATGGAATATAGTTTTTCTAGTTATGCCTAGATATTTATTAATATCAGAGATTTTATTTATTTGGACCATATATATATGTGTGTGTGTGTGTGTGTGTGTTTTTTCCCTCTCTCCAACAAACTCATTTATGCTGGTCAGAAAGTTTTGAACCGGTTTAACAATGTTTCTGGCTTTATACCAGGATTACATGAGTAAGATATTTTGTTGGAAATCTGTCTAAAAACTCTGTAAAGGTACAGAAGAAATTCTGAGTTCAGCCAATGGGAAGGCAGAAGACCAGCAGTCACTCTCGGCGCAGGCAGTGGGCCAGATATTTGCCTCAACACTTGATAATGTGTCTATTCAACATTTTCAACAAGCAAGCATTGCACATCATCACATACAGGAAAGAGTTTTCTCAATCCATGATCTTCACCACAAAAAAAAAAAATCGTTCATCTCTAATTCATGGCTCTCCATCTGGCCCTGTTTAAATACCCCCTCCCCCCACACTAGTTCCTTAATCTTACATGCTGGCTTTTTTTCTTCTCGGAATCTCAAATTGGTCGTTAGGACTCATTTCCATGTGCATTGGCTCTATTGGTGCGCGTTCACGGCCTCAAGCTTGCCGCATCATTTGATCAGGCGTGACGCGCCCCTGGGATCCCAATACAATCAGCCCTGGGTTTAATCTCGTGTCCATGAGCAGGTGCTTCGGGTTCAAGGTCTTTTGTTTCACCCCTCACTGTCGCCTCACAACGGGGATAAAAGACAATGAGACCCATTGAAAGAACAATTGCGCTTTTTTTCAGGGCGCCGCTGTTCACCATCTGCCCGTGTCTGTAAGTACAGGCAGCTGTATTAGTATTTGAAGAGCATTTCTTTTCGTTCATTCATATTCATGAAAACATCTCATTTGGATATTTCAGCAACATCCAGCACCTATAGCTATAAGTCAATAAGACTGGGGTTTTGTGTATAAACATTTGGAAATTGAGCCAAAAATATTTATAAAAAATTACACTAAATCCTGATTAGAAAAGCCGCGTTCGAAACCGTCATAAAATAAACACTCTACGTTGCTTGGTATCTGTAAACGTTAGATGACGTATTAATTGGTGGAAAAACTTCTAAAACATGTTTTTTGTTAATGTGATAAATGAAAACTATCAAATATCATTTATCTCTAAAGACGTACACACACACATATGTGTGTGTTTTTAAAAGAAAAAAAAAATACTGTAAAAATCAAACACTGTATTTATACAATAATATTAAAATGTAATTTATTCATGTGATGGCAGATTTTCAGCATCATTACTCCAGTCGTCAGTGTCACATGATCCTTCAGAAATCAATCTAATATCGGCTGATTTGCTACTCAAGAATCGTTTCTTATTAATAATTAATCAATGTTGAAAACAGTTGTGCCGTTTAATATTTTTGTGAAAACCTTGATATTATTCTTTAATGAATAGAACGTTCATAAAATAGCATTTTTTTGTTTCATTTATCCTTGCTGAATAAAAATATTAATATTAATTTCTTTCCAAAAATCTTTTTTTTATATATATAGATATTTTTAATGTTAATATTTAAGAAATTGAGGATAATTGAAGTATGATTATAATATTTTATTACAAACTCAGGATTTGATTTCATCTTTGGTAATGCCGAGTTGCTTTACTCACCTGTATCCACTAAATGCTCTTGAGCGCGGTGAGAGGAGGATAATCTGGCCACAGCTCAAGCGCTCAAGAGCCGATAAAGACCCGCCATCTGACGCTCTGTGAACGACACCGTCTGCTGTTATCAGTGTGTATAGCACAACATGGAGGAATGGAGCATCGAGTAATGTGATCAGAGACTATCGCTTCAGCTGGTAAGATCTCATCCTCATTCTGTACCGCTCGTGTCTCTGCCTGATGATTTGATTATGCCTTTATTTAGATACATTTACTACTGAAGCGCTGTTCAGTTAAAATTCTATTCAGGCAGGCCTCAAGAATGAATCTGCCCTGCGGTTATGTTCTAATAATAAAACCATATAGTGCAGGTCTCTTAAATCAGGGTGCTGTTATGTTACTACAGTATGATGTGATGGAGTTTGTGAAAACTCAGCTGCTGTGTCTCTGGTCCACTTATGTCTATATGTAACAATTGAAATCATACAGGGGCAGAATTTTGATCTTTCAAAATGTTATTCCAAAAAAATTTGATTATGTGATGAAGCATTTAGCAGACCAACATGTTGCATTTTTCTTTACTGAAGGTTAACATGCTAAAAAAATAGAAAAGATGTAAAAGATGTAAATTTCATTTAAATGAAAATATGTTTTTTTTTTTGTTTTTTGTTTTTTTTAATCCCTACCCATAATGTATCCCTAAAATCAGAAGAAAATGATAGGTGGATAAGAATGATGTAGAAGCCTCTAACCCTTGTTGTAAGCCTAAACTTGACATTAACTTCCCTCAATAAAAACGATCCCAATCTGATTAATTGATTGGAATGTTGTTCCAGGATCAACAAGGATTTTACGTGGTGAAATCACGTTAACCCAGTAGGTTAATACATACAATAACTAACAGTATTTCTTCTATGTGATGCGTTGACATTTTCCACAGTACTATTGCTTATGGTGTCATATTAGCTGATAGCAGACTGATGTTTGGCCTCCCAAAGGATTCTGGGAAGGGATCCGTTTACTTCCAAATGTCTGACCATATGCCTCTAATATCTGACATGATTTAGTCTCATTAAATTAGGGCTTTAGTTTAAGAGCTCGGCTGAGATCAGAGTTCCTATTAAGTCTCTGTTGTTCTTATTTGAGGTGACGTGCATCTTGATTGCTTCAATATTACGGTAGTTTAAATGACATTGTTAAAATAGTGGACTTTCAAATCACCTCCCCTCTGCACAATGTTCCTTCCTGTCCTCTCTTCTTCTCTTTTCTCCTTCTATCTCAGCAGAACAAGGACAGTGTCAAAGCCCTGCTCGTGCTTTTGGTTCAGTGCACACTATGCAACTGTTCCCCTTTTCTTTGGGCTAAACTTTGCAAAAGCCCTCTTCTATTAATATTTGGAGGAAATGCATACATATTTGCAATAAAATCTGCATTTGCATTCTGTTCTAATAATATTAATTCAAACAAAATATAAAAAATGTGTAAGCGACTGCTAGAATTGAGGCCAATGAGGTTTGGGCCAATTAGGGCTAATGATAGCATAGTGTAGAGAGGTGCCAGTGAACATGCTGCTACTTTTATACACAGACAGCAGGCGTGTGTTCTGACATAAGCACTAACCCTCAGACGACTCCTGTGGTGATAACAGCTCTTCTTGTCAGACACCACAATCTGTCCACTTGGATTTCTCTCTCCTCTTGGATGCTGAATCAGCCAGAAAAGCATCAGAATTTGGCATAATACAGTAAGGGAGATTGGGATCATTTTGGCAGGGACGACTTTCTAAATTTCATTAAAAACTTTGTTTGTAGCCTCTGCCAAAAGGAGCCAAGAACGGTTCGTTCTGGAGTACTTCATCCAAAAATGAAAAATCTGATATTGTTTTTTTTTCACACTCATGTTGAACTAAACATGTGCAACAGATTTTCTTTCATAAACACAAAATGTGACATGCTGAATAATTAATTGTTTGTTTTTTCTCCATGCAGTATAACAGTGATTGGAATGGAGACAGAGACTTTCAAGCTTCAAAAGCACCACAAAAGTATCATAAAAGTAGTCAAGTCTTCCTAAGTCATATGAATAATTGTTTTGAGTCAAATTGGTCGATCCGATTCATTATGATTGAAAATGACCTGCTTCCCACTTCTGATGTTGTGATTAACGAGCTCATCACATTCGAGTACTTTGTTGCCGGAAAGAACAGTAATCCTGGAGAACACCAGGTTTATTCTGTCCTATTTATTGGGAAAATCTTATTAAAGCCAAAATGATATTTAGCGTCCCATTCATTGACAACCATAAATATTCCCCGGCCCACTCTATCTAGATAATCAGTTTGCTGACAATTCTGGAATTTCTGTCAAATACAGGCTATTTTCGCTGTGTATAGAACATACAATACACTTCAAATTATTATTCATATATGTAACAACAAGACAAGGCGATGTACTGTAGCTGTTGTAGAAAAGTGGTAAATACGACTTGAGAGGGAGTTCGTGTCCAGTTTTTAACTAGGAAACTCGTGTCAATGATAATCCCGAAAGCACTTTACTACTTCACCGTCGGTTTGCACATCCGCCATGTTTGTATTCAATGTTTTTATGTACTTGTAGTTTTAATCGAATCCTTGTCCAACGTGCAAAGGGTTGTCGGCAATATTAGCTGTTAGAGTGTGCACTAACCGGAAATAGAAGTCAATCCGGGTATCTTTGGAATATTCATTTCAACATATTAGGATTTAGGGATTTTGGGGGTGTACAAGAATAGGTTTTCATTCTTGAATATTCAAAAACGACATTATTTTTTACATTGTTGCAGACTGCAGCACCTCTCTTCCCAGTCTGTCAGTAACGCTCTGTTTATTTTCTGTCTCTATGAAGCCCCTCCGTCCGAAAAGCGTCATGTGCTCTGATTGGTCAGCTAGACCAGTGTATTGTGATTGGTCTATTGCTTAAGGTGATGATACACGGGGCAACTCAATGGGCAACCAGGTGAGACACAGGGCCCACGACCGATCTAAAGTATCCAGATAGAAATCTGTTGCCCATTCTCAATGGGAAAGCACTCAAGCAACATCGCTCTGCAACATTGCCCGGCAACATTGCTAAAAAAAGTTCCCCCGTGTAAGTCCCCCTTTAGACTCAAGTTTGTTTTGCAAATGTCACACCCCTTACCATAACCGCAAATTTAAACACACTAATAACACAACTCATCCAGGCCCCGCCGCTTTTTTGTGACGTGTACGTTCCCGAAATAAAACTCTAAGCTCAAGACTCTAATCGAGGCGTTACACACTAAACAAAGTTGAAAATGTAAAAAAGCATAATAGGTCCTCTTTAAATGACCTGTAGTGGAAAATGACGTCTTCACCCTAGGTTTGATCTTCATCTGATTCAATCCGGTTTCAGTTTTGTATCTGAATCTTTATTGATTTCGTATCAAGTGTTTCAAGATTGATTGAAGCGTTTAATTGGGTTCGGCCATTTTGACGACCACTGCTGTTGTTTATTCTGAGCTTCTTTAACAAATCACTTACTCTGAGGGTCCAATGGCAAGGCAAGGCAAGTTTATTTATATAGCACATTTCATACCGTCAATGACAGCGGGATTGATAGTCGTGAGGGTTGCCATGGATACAAGACCAGCAGGCTCTGATCATATTGACTGTTGATGATAGCCGTAATTTCAAATAACAGGCGTTCCTGTGTTGTTCTAGAAAGATGATTGCCCCCATTATCATGACACATCAGCCGTGCTGAGATCTGTTTCACTGTTATCAATCAGATCTGGCATTCCTCCGGCTCTAATCCGTCTCAGTGGGTCACACAGACCCCTGCTTAACCGATATCAGCTCAGCAGGCGTATTAACTATGGATGACGTCAGCCCTCTGCTGTATGTTATTCACAAGGGCACAGCCTCCCTTCTTCAGAGACACATCACTAAGCTGCTACTGTTCCTGCGCTCGCTGGCGAACTGTGCCAGAGTCTGTGGCTATATTTAGCGCTGCCTGTTTGGTTTTAGGTGCAGATTAATGTGGAGAGATGAAAATGGGAGCGAGGGATATCCGAACCTTTCCGATGATGGATTTTATGAAGGAGCCCGCAGCCTGTGATGGAAGCTAAAGGTTTATCTTGCTGGCTGTAGTCGCTTCCTGGTGGATCTTTTGGTGTGAGCCTGCATCTCCTCTGCAGACAGACAGTAGGTAGGAAATAGATACATATTTGGGCACGTGAACAACACTGCACATATATGATGATGCATGTCCGGCCATGCATTGAGTGAGCGCAAAATGTGCCCTTTAAAGAGTTTAAAACCTATCCTGTCTTTTTTGGAAGCCTTGTTTGTTAATGATCCTGATCCATTTAATGTCCAATGGGAACCGTCCACATGTATGATGAATGCTGTTCATGCGTGTGCATATATGTGTGTGTGTGTCTATGCTTCATGATCTAAAATAATACATTTTCTTACATTAATTAAAATATTTCAGAATCAGTTCATATTACCCTGAAATAATTTGAGGGTAATATGAATTTTAAGACAATATTTCACGTGTTGAATGTATTATTTGTTCATCCTTTATGTTTGTCAATCCCTCTTGCACTGATGTGATGTTAAAACCAATAAATACTGTAGAATCTATAAAAAGGTAAATAAATAAAATATATGTACATATATGAAATTCTGTGTTGTTTTTGTTAACTAAAACTATTAAACAATGTGTTGAATTGAAATAAAGCTGAAATCAAATAAAATGGGAAACAAAGAATGAAAATTAGAAATGTTGTTTTGGCAACAAGTTGAAGTTCTGAAATGACTAAAATGAAACTAAATGAATTGTATAGAAATATTTTTTTAAATAAATAAAATTGACAAAAGCACATACCAGATTACTAAAACTTAAACCAAAATTAAAAAGCTCATTTAAATAGTAATAAAAACTATAATAGTCTAAATATTTCTAAAATAACTGCTCATATTAAATAAGACTACATGGAATATTTGTACCCTTAAAAAAATACATTTTCACACTGCTGGACCATTTATAATAAACTAGTGAAAACAAAAATATTTATAAAATGATGTTCAGTTACAGTATATAAACTATCCCTTATGCATTTATATAAATAAATCTTAATGCAACTTTATACTATCCTTTTACTGAATAAAATATCAGTGGTTAACATTTTGCTGTTCTGATGTAGGTCTTCAGGAGTGGGCCGCTGTTCGTCCTTTGTCTTGAGGGGGACTGAGAGAGCGAGAGCAAGGCATTCTGGGAAGCCCAGCGAGTCCTGGATGTGGTTGAGTCTCAGCTATCAGCAGCCGAAGAAAAGTTTATCCAATGGTGCTCCTCTATATACTAAAGCTCACCTCCAGGGGCATCATGAGTGGATAAGGGGCCTGGCTGGAGGCGGTGCATAGGTCAAGGGGTGGAGCCACTGCAGTGGATGGGCAGTTTTGAGTGGAAGGGAGGTTCTGTAAATGATGACCAGCCTTTTCCGCCGGAGTAACGCGAACAGTAACCATGGCAGCGGTACACGAGGAGGCGACGCTGCCTCAGGAGAGCTCAATAACAGGAGGCCTCCACGTCAGGTCCGGCGTCTGGAGTTTAGCCAGGCTATGGATGACTTTAAGACCATGTTCCCCAGCATGGAGCATGAGGTTATCGAGTGTGTCTTGAGGGCTAACCAAGGTGCTGTCGACTCCACCATTGACCAGCTCCTGCAGATGAGCCTGGATAGCCAAGCCACGGATGACAGCTCGGATTCTGAGGACAGCATTCCTCCAGAGGTTAGTCTAGAAACTTCTGTTTAGATCTGTTGAGACTAAAAGTTTGGCATTTTTAGATATTGATGCACAAAATAATCTTTCCTTCTAACCTGCAGATCCTGGGAAGAACGCTGGAGCCGGACAGCTCAGATGAGGAGCCTCCACCCGTCTACGCTCCGCCCTCCTATGACATGCACATCTATGACAGAAAACATCCCGCAGATGTTCCATCCACACCACCACCAAGGCAAGAAGAACATTCAACCGGGTTTTCTGGTGGAAGAAATTACTACTAATAATAGTTTAATAGACTTTAATCTGTGAGAGACGTTGTGTCTGTGTTCACTTTGCTGCTTATGTTGGTTTGGCTGATCTACCATTTAAAGGTGAACTAAGTAACTTTTTTACCTTAACCGAACAGCTTTGGAGTCATTGTAATGTTTATATTACTGATTTCGTGTTGAATGGTGGTCGTCTCGCACCCCCCTGGTGCCTGTGAGCCGCAAAACCACCCTTGCAACTTTGGGCTGGCGAGCCGCCGGCCTCAGTGTTAGGAAGTATCGTGTGATATCAGGTCTCGCGAGGTAACGAATTAACCTGGCCCTAGCCAGATGAATTTCGCTTCGCCTAGCTTCACTCATCCATCTGGAACCGATCCATTGAAATTGCGTTTCAGAAGGCTGGGCCTTATCAAAAATCCTTGCATATGATTGGATAAGCCACTTGTCTGTCATCTTTATCGACGTGCTATTTCAACCACTCACACCGAAGCCAACCCGTGACGCTGAAGAATCCGGTCGGGAGAAGGCACTGATCTATATAACATCGTTTCCACCAACAAAAGCCTTAAGAGCCGTTCTCTGATGTTCTTTTAATGAAACAATATTAGGCAGATTGGACAACACGGATGAAATAGCAGCATCAATGTTAACGCTTGTTTCCTCGATGCGAGCCGCCATTGTTGTCTGAATCAAAACAGTCTCACGGTCACTTCTCCACTACGTCACATCTATGAAACTCCCGCCCTGCGTCCTGATTGGCTAAACCATAAAGTTGGTTGGAGAAATCACTCTCAATGGAAGAGGTTCCAGATGGATGTGAGTGAAGCTAGGCGGAGCGAAATTCATCTGGCTAGGGCCAGGTTAGCTTTAAGCCTTTCTTCTTCTTCTTCTGAGACCAAATTTCTCAAATTAATTTTCAAGCTATTTGACCACCAATCTCGCCACAGACCTTCAGGCTGTTCTGACTCTGTGTGCTATATATTTTCTAACTAATCTGATTTATGGAATTCCCATATCGGACTTTCAGACAGGCCCAAATTCCCATAGACTTCCTCTATATAATAAAGAGTACTTAAAGGGTTAGTTCACCCACAAATGAAAATTCTGTCAGTAATTACTCACCCTCATGTTGTTCCAACCCCGTAAGACTTTCGTTCATCTTCGGAACACAAATTAAGATATTATTGATGAAATTTGAGAGCTGTCGCACTCCTTCATAGGCTGCTAGGTAACGGCATCTGCCGGCCCAGAAAAGTTAGTAAAGAAGACATCGTTAAAATAGTCCAAGTGACTACAGTGGCTCAACCTTAAGTTTATCAAGCGACGAGAATACTTTTTGTGCGCAAAACCCCCCAAAAAGAACAACTTTATTCCACTATTTATTTTCTTCTGTGTGGGCCTCTGGCGTGAGTTCACGAGAGCGCCACGAGTCACGACGCATGTGCGAGAACTGAGAAGATGCCTAAGCCTAGCATATGGCAACGTGCTAAAATATTTAATTTAAAGTTTAATGTCCTAGAATGCCTAACAAAATACTAAAACATGCTAAATTATGCTAGCCAAATGCTAAAACATTCTAGCAATGTGTTAAAACATGTTAACAATAACTAGTAACATGATGTCAATATACTAGCAGCATGCTAAAGTATAACTTATTAGCAACATGCTATCACTGCCTAGCTTTCTAGCTGGCTGTTTTTCTTAATGTATCTATATATCAAACTTTAAAAAATATTTTAAACTTTCAGACAAGGCTTTGTGAAGCCAACCTTAATGTTTGTCCTGACGAACTTTACTTCTCTAGTTTAGTCTTCTGCTCGGTTTAGTTTTAAAGGTCCTATGACATGAAATTTTCACTTTCTGAGGTTTTTTAACATTAATATGAGTTCCACTAGCCTGTATATGGTCACCCAGTGGCTAGAAATTTCAATCGGTGTAAACCGAGCTTTGGCTATCTTTCTCTGCCTTTGAGAAAATGAAAGCTCAGACGGGCTGATCTTGAATCTCCTCCGTATGACGTCATACGGAGGAAAGGTAACCTCCCCTTTCTCTGCTTTGCCCGCCCAGAGAATTTGTCTCGCCCATGAGAAAACGAGCTAGGAAGTATGAACGCGCGAGCGAGTTTTTCCTCGAGAGATATCATGGCTTGCAAACGAGCGAAGCATGGCAGTTGATCAGTGTTCAGATGTACAAATGAACACAAAGGTATCTTTTAGTTCCTTTATCCGAGCCTCTGAAGAAACAATGGGTTAATTTTATTTTCTCTGGAAATGCGCCGACACAACTTCCCAAAGTTTTGTATGGTCCAAACATTTCACCGACGACTGTTTCCTCAACTTGGGCCAATACAGAGCTGGCCTCGATGAACGTCTGAAAAAAATTCGATCGAGCTACCAAGCAACAATTTCTGAAGTGTAGCCTAATTGTTCAAGTTCAGACAGGTAATCTTTCTCTCAAAATCGTTCAATACTGTTTATGCATCAGTAAGTCAAAACAGTGACTAAAATATCAACTTCACATCGTTTCTTTTAGTAGGATGAAAACAATCGTATTTTAATTGTGAACAAATTATATACAGAAAGCGATCAAAGAACAATCTTTCCACACAGCGCGAGTTTATCTGGACAACTCGTTATGAAATCAATGACGCACGTTACACTGCACAACGAAGCTCTTACTGTATGTACATCATCGTGTTTGCATTGGTGAAAGCATTAGAGAGAGTGCAGAAACTGCGTTGCAATGATAAGATCTTCATGCTCGCGATCAACAGACTGTCATCTGCTTGCTCAATGCTCATCACGGCAACATTTTATGTGGAATAGATCTAAATACTTTAAAAACTTCTCGATAGCTGTAACGTTAATAGTAAAAACATATAATAGCTGTAGTAAAAGTATTCGAGAGAGTTTCACATGTAATATGTAGCTATTTCATATGCAAGCATGTCAGCCAATCACAGCAGGGGGCGGTTACACTGAATCCCACAGCAGACACGCCCCTTCAAACAGAGCGTTCAAATCAGAGGCTAAAATCAGGCTAGGAAAAATGCCTTTTATTTCTTAATTATGACTATTTTTGATCTAAAAAACATACTAACATTATAAGGGCAACCCAGGAAACATTATAAAATAATAAAATAACCCCATGTCATGGGACCTTTAAAAACAGTTTAAATTTACACTTTGTTTAGCGAATAAACTGTTTTTATGTTTGCTGTTAGTTTGATGTTACTACACCAAACCATCAAAGTCTTGAAGATGACGTTTAACAGAGTTGTATTTACAGTAACTACGCATGAAAATGTTTCCATTCAAAGTTGCTTCCTGAATTTATGCGTAAAATTGGAATATCGCATAAAACATTTGCAAATAAAGCGCCGTTTTCATTTCTCATGCGTTCAAGAAAACAAAAAATCTGGGAAACTGGCACAAATGATCGATAATAAAATTTACTTAATAATACAAGACGAAATACAAGAAATCCTGTCATGACAGAGGTGGATGCCTGATGTTTGGGAACATAATCGTGAGACAGTTTTGTGAGGTAATAATACTAAATCACAGGGCCGTGCACAGGGGGGTGGCCCGGTGGCTAGAGCCACTGCCCTTCTGCCCTCATCAGCTGAGGTGCCCCTCTCGCCCCCCTCCCTAACCCTCCAGAGGATTTCCATAAAAACGTTATGTTATCGCTCCAGAATTTTCGCACGTTAAAAAATAAATACGACCTCACGTTATGTCAATCACACTTGCACACTGCCCTGACACTGCCTCCGAAACTTTCGTCCTTCATAAAAAAAAAATCAAATCGGGTAAAAATCTATTCGAACCATAGCCAGCAGTTTGAATGGTGTTTTGACAATTCAGAGCCAACGAATCACGAATATGAAAAAACGCAGTGTGCAATGGCCTTTATTCTGTGTTTTTTTTCTGTGCGTGCACACACAAACACACACAACCCGACGCGTGCAGCCCTGAACATAGACAGAGCAGCGCGCAAGGACTGAACTGAGCTCTCTTTCGTGTCTGAATGGACAAATACACACAACATTATGTCTAAATGTCCGTTTTGGAGAGTATTCACTTAAACGCAGTCAGTTATGTCTTTACAGAACGTACAGTTGTGAGAATATCGGATGTGCATCAGTGCAATTGGATCTGCACACTCGGTCTTAAAGTGACAGTGCGTAATAAACCTAATGCCGTCTGTGCACTTAATATTAATCAAACAACAAAATAAAAAGAGAAAAGCATTCACTGCTCTTTAATAGCTTTAATAAGGATTAATTATATTTAATTCATACAAATAAATATGTCTGCTTGAAAGAATAAAGAATGATGTATGTAAGACTAATTTTAAGATATTATTTTATGTCACAGTGCTAAATATGTGTCTGTATTGCATGTTCAAACTTTAAAAAATATTAATATTATCAGGTTAATAGATGTTTTCTACGGGAATATATAATGGGTTTGGACGTTTTAGAGAAATTCTAAATTAATGCCTTACAATTTAACACTAAACCCATTAAATTTTAGTCGACTAAATCTACTGTAGATTTAGTCGACTAAAACCTTATTGTATTTCGTCGACTAAAACTAAAACAATTCAGATGACTAAAATATGACTAAAACTAAATGGCATTTTAGTCAAAAGACTAAGACTAAATCAAAATTTGCTGTCAAAATTAACACTGATCTAAATGAATCGTCAAACTCCTTATAGTGCCCCCTTTTTTGGTTTAAGCCACTGCCCTTCAAAATGTCTGTGCACGGCCCTGCTAAATCATTTTAATGACGGACTTTGTTTTAGTCATTCTGAAATGCCTGAGCCAATGTGTGCACGATTAATGCGACTGGTCCAATTGTTAGTCCAATCGCATCTATTTTTTTTTTTTGTACACATCAAGGGATTTATTTGGTAAATGTGTTTCCAGTTGTAATTTATGCGCATGTCTTCTTATTGCGTAAAAATGTATCCACCTCAATTGAGTGCACAAGTTTTTATGCACATCTTGGCATTTCCATGCAGCGTTTTTTAATTTTTATGTATACGATAAAAAGTGTGGATGGAAACATAGCTATCTATTAGTGTGTGAACTCAATAAACAACAGTGTCTTATAAATGAAATAAATCACAAGCTGAGGACCCCATCAGGCCTTACCAATTTTAGGTGTGTGTTTCAGAAGAAGAATTTAATTTTTTAATTTTATCCTCATCATTTTTCCAGGTTTGATGATTACCCACCTCCTGGGCATCAGCAGGTCGGAAGATACAGGAACTGGAATCCACCGTTACTAGGCAACCTCCCCGATGACTTCCTGCGGATCCTGCCTCAGCAGTCAGAGAGTATTCAGGTAGATTTACAAATGATTAGCATACAAATCATGGCTAAATATCATGTGTTTACAATGAGGGGCATTTAGATCCAGATTCAAAGACATAGATTTAGATTCAGATGCAGATTCAACAACCCTCCGTCCAAATTCACCAGATTTATATACAGTGACAATATACAGTACATATAATACATTTGTAGCATTTTTTCAGGCACAATATCTTTCAATAAAGTACACAAATATCATGAGTTTACAAAAACAAGCATTACATCTTGATTCTAAGACCTCCGTTAATGTCTAAATTCACTAGCTTTAAGGCCAGACAAAGCAAATCAATCATCTCATGGTTGATTTTTTTTTAGGCCATTTCGGTTAAAAAAATGTCTTAGGTGATTTTTTTTTTTTTTTTTTTTTTTTTTTTTTTTACAGCGTTCTCAGAGCAGCTTGTCTCAGCCTTCCTCCTCCTCTTCTTCCTCCCTGTCATCCCTGACGCAGATCTCGTCCAGCAGTGGTGCCCTGTCAGGGAGCGTTTGGTCATCTGAACAGGACAGGAAGTTGAAACAGTACTTGGACGACGAGAGAATCGCCCTTTTCCTGCAGAATCAGGAGTTCATGAAAGAGCTACAGCGTAACAGAGACTTCCTCATAGCTCTGGAGATAGGTATACACACACACACACACACACACACATATATTATACAAACAACAAAATTTTAAATGCAACACTTGTTTTTGCCCCCATTTTTCATGAGCTGAACTCAAAGATCTAAGACTTTTTCTATGTACACAAAAGGCTTATTTCTCTCAAATATTGTTCACAAATCTTTCGTGCGATTTTGAGCCGAATTCTGACTCGAATTCTGACTCTTTTTCGGGTCGGACCGATTTTCAGCTTTGTCGTGCAGTGTTCGTGCAGTGTACAGGGAGAAAAGAGAGGCGATTAACCTCTCCCGATCAACTATCGGATGGTCGGATGAATTTCTGGCATGTCAGAAATTTTGGTCGCTCCTCGTGACTATATCGCACAATTGAAGCAAAGCTACGAACCGATTGCCCTGCCTAAACACAGTGTTTTTTCCCTCACTGCGCCTGCTCGAAAACAGAAGTTTAACCATTTCATCTGCAGCAAATATACAATTAAAATAAAAACGAAAAGAGGGAGATCTTTAAGTTCTGTAGTTCAAACTAGCTACAAATTACTGTTGCTTACCTCCAGTTCGTGTTGCAAAATGGATTAACCATATATTACCCACGTCCTCCAAGCCACCTGCGATGTAACGCCTCTTTTATTAATTTGTTAAACAATGTTTTTGAAATAAACCTGTTTTTAATTTTCATTGATGATTAATTATTGCAATGTTCGGACATTTTATAGACTGTTAATAGTTATTTATATGCCTATAATTCATTGTAATCGACCTAAATGTTTTAGACAATTTTCAATGAGGAGGAGTAAGCTTCTATGTAATATTTTATTATCCTCACAGCACGTTGGTTATGTGCTGTGAAATTATTGCGTGGCAAATTAATTATAATAGCGGATCAATTTAATAATACATTTAGCCTAGGCCTCCCCTAATAATGATAATACAATAATACTAATAATAATTTAATGCATAAATTGGAAATGCTAAATCATCTTGATATTGATAGCTGATGCTAGTTTTGACAATATCTCTGGATACATGATATCGTCTATTGGCGCAATCCAGGGGTTTATCGCAGATATTTCACACGTATAGTGTGAGCAGTGAAGTCGCAGCTCGATGATCGGACCGTATAGTGTGAGCACATAAATCCTGTACTTTGGCTTTACATCGCATGCGATTTACTCGTTCAGTGTAAGTAGGTACCGTGCTGAAATCGCACAGACATCGCACAGTGTATGCCCGCCTTAAATCTGTTAGTGAGCACTTCTCCTTTGCCGAGATAATCCATCCACCTCACAGGTGTGGCATATCAAGATGCTGATTAGACAGCATGATTATTGCACAGGTGTGCCTTAGGCTGGCAAAAAAAAAAGGTTGTTGATTGTGGCCTGTGGAATGTTGGTCCACTCCTCTTCAATGGCTGTGCAAAGTTGCTGGATATTGGCAGGACCTGGAACATGCTGTCGTATATGCCGATCCAGAGCAGTGTATGTATATATATATATATATATACACACACACCTAAAGTAGGGGTGTGCGATATCACGGTTTTTGATCGTGGACGATTAAAATGTCTCCACGATCTGCTTTTGAAGAAATATCGTAGTATCGTGCATTTTATCAGTTGCAGTTCTGGCGCCGAGCTCCGTCTCAACATACAACAAATGTTAACGCAGAGGAACGGGACACTGCAGTTCACAGAAGTTCATTATTTGCATGTGCTTTAAAGCCTTGCTGGTTAAACATGTAATTCACTGCTGATGCGCTGTTCTGACGTGTGCTTTCTGAGCGCATACACCCGAAGCACACGGGCACTAAAAGCCTGTCTAACAGCGTCTGTTTACTGGACTACGTTATAAGTTATCTTTCGAGTCTTATTGCGCTAATATTGTCAAATACACACAAGGTTTACATAAACAAAGTTGGTTATGTCTAAAGTGAAAGCAAACAGAAAAAAAATGAGAGAAAATCTGCTTGTCAAATGCGTGTATATTAGACGCGTCGCGTGCACTGCAGCTCTTAAAGCGACAGTAGCCAGTTAGTAAACAAGCTGCCTCTTGTCCTTAAAGAGATAGTTCACCCAAAAATAAAAATTCTGTCATTATTTACTCACTCTAATGTTGTTCCAAACCTGTATTAATTTCTTTCTTCTGTTGAAAATAAAAGTTATTTGGAAGAATGTAGCTAACCAAACAGTTGCTGGTCCCCATTGACTTCCATAGTAGGAAAACATATACTATGGAAGTCACTGGAGTACAGCAACTGTTTGGTTAGCCACATTCTTCCAAATAACTTTTATTTTCAACAGAAGAAAGAAACTTATTCGGGTTTAAAACAACTTGAGAGAGTAAATGATGGAAATTAAAATGTTTGGGAGAACTATCCCTTTAATGTTAATAAAACAACAAAACACAAAGAGGAAATCACTCACTGCTCTTGACTGAGAACTTTAGTAGTAGCTTTAATAATAATCAATGTATAATTTATACAGTGAAGTCTATGTTGTGTTTTATTTTCGTATTTGTTCATTTAGCCTAATTACTTTCTTCAATGCTACTGTTAAATACCCCTTACTGTAGCTGAAAAAATAAAGCACTGTTTATTTCATTTGTATATTAAGTTGTGTATGCTTAATGTGTATCTTTGTTCCTAATTCTTAATAACAAAGAAAATAATGATAAAGATTTTTATCTTCGCCACCTTGGCCTAAATGTCTGCCATTCTTTTTTCTTTTGTTACCTATAAGGCTTTTTTTTTTAAATAGGGACATTAGTTTGGCTGTAATGCTCAGTCACTTGCAAAATAGTAAAACCAACATGAAAAAGAATCGTGATAAAATCGTTAATCGTGATTTTCCTGAAAAAAATCGTGATATGATATTTTTGCCATATCGCCCACCCCTAAAGGATTATTAGGAACACCATACTAATACTGTGTTTGGCCCCCTTTCACCTTCAGAACTGCCTTAATTCTACGTGGCATTGATTCAACGTGCTGAAAGCATTCAAGGTGCTGAAAGCATTCTTTAAAAATGTTGGCCCATATTGATAGGATAGCATCTTGCAGTTGATGGAGATTTGTGGGATGCGCATCCAGGGCACGAAGCTCCCGTTCCACCACATCCCAAAGATGCTCTATTGGGTTGAGATCTGGTGACTGTGGGGGCCATTTTATTACAGTGAACTCATTGTCATGTTCAAGAAACCAATTTGAAATGATTCAAGCTTTGTGACATGGTGCATTATCCTGCTGGAAGTAGCCATCAGAGGATGGGTACATGGTGGCCATAAAGGGATGGACATGGTCAGAAACAATGCTCAGGTAGGCCGTGGCATTTAAACGATGCCCAATTGGCACTAAGGGGCCTAAAGTGTGCGAAGAAAACATCCCCCACACCATTACACCACCACCACCAGCCTGCACAGTGGTAACAAGGCATGATGGATCCATGTTCTCATTCTGTTTATGCCAAATTCTGACTCTACCATCTGAATGTCTCAACAGAAATCGAGACTCATCAGACCAGGCAACATTTTTCCAGTCTTCAACTGTCCAATTTTGGTGAGCTCTTGCAAATTGTAGCCTGTTTTTCCTATTTGTAGGGGAGATGAGTGGTACCCGGTGGGGTCTTCTGCTGTTGTAGCCCATCCGCCTCAAGGTTGTGCGTGTTGTGGCTTCACAAATGCTTTGCTGCATACCTCGGTTGTAACGAGTGGTTATTTCAGTCAAAGTTTCTCTTCTATCAGCTTGAATCAGTCGGCCCATTCTCCTCTGACCTCTAGCATCAACAAGGCATTTTCGCCCACAGGACTGCCGCATACTGGATGTTTTTCCCTTTTCACACCATTCTTTGTAAACCCTAGAAATGGTTGTGCGTGAAAATCCCAGTAACTGAGCAGATTGTGAAATACTCAGACCGGCCCGTCTGGCACCAACAACCATGCCACGCTCAAAATTGCTTAAATCACCTTTCTTTCCCATTCTGACATTCAGTTTGGAGTTCAGGAGATTGTCTTGACCAGGACCACACCCCTAAATGCATTGAAGCGTGTGATTGGTTGATTAGATAATTGCATTAATGAGACATTGAACAGGTGTTCCTAATAATCCTTTAGGTGAGTGTATATATGATATGAGGACCTCAATGTGAATTTCATATTGCCTTCTATTGTTCTTAAAGTCACAATGTGACGGAATTGGCAACTGATTTTTTTTATATTGTGACATAACATCCGAGTGAAGCGGATTATTGAAAAGGAAAAAAATGAAGGGCAGTTAACAGTTAACTGGATGGAGGCAGATCTGAATCTGAGCTTGCTGTTGATTGTAAGAGGCATGTTTATGCAGGCTAAATGATTGGAGAAGCCTGGCAAGTCTGTCACTTTACCGAAAGATTGGGATATGACATTTTGATAAAAAATAATAATAACAAGGCCAAATAAATAAACAAATATGGATGAATATGCATGGATAAATTGCTCACATTAAGATCAATAATATGCATTTACAAAATAGGATGAATTTCATGTCGACTTTAAATTACAATTAAATGAAAAGAATACTCCAATTTTACTCATTTATATTACTATATTAATATTCATGTATTTATATTTAATTAAATTCTAATTTAAATACAAGTTATCTTTACTATAGACAAAACCTAATTCAAATTTTCTAGCAATTTTTTAAGTGAATGAAGTGGATGTTTATTTTATTAAAACATTTTATTCCAGTTGCTATTGGGCCATTTTTCTGATATTCTTCCACCCAAAAGTAATAATAAACTAAACTAAACTAAAAGCTGTATTGTAACTAGTTCAGAAACAACAGAAAAAAACACATTGTCCCTCAAACACTCATTTTTCAAACATACTTCACTTAGGATGAAATAATGTTTGGATTTCTCCATGTGAGGAAAACCTTTCATTCATAGTAAAGAATTCATAAACCAACATTTCAGTCAAGCATCTTTTTTGCAGTCTTTACCAATATTTGGGACCCCTCAAAGTCTTGGTTCCTCCCAAGATTTCTTCCTCACCTTTCCTGCTTTTTGTAATGATTTATAATATGAAAAGCGCCATACAAATAAAATTAAAATAAATGTAATCAAGTACTACATTTTGTACTTTATTCCCTTCTAATTGCAAAAAGATTTGCACTGTTTTTCATTCTCATATTTGTAGACCATCGCTCCTGTCATTCTGCTAAAATGCATTTTGAATTAACCCCAGGTGTGTGAACAGCTTTCATTCCTAACACACAGTGTGCAGTGTTGTGTTGTTCAGTCCACTGTCTCCACTCACTCTGGAGCGGCTGATCTTCACCTGCCCTCAGTGACCCTGTTGCCTGCTGTGTTTTAGATCGTCAGAGGTGTGAGAAAACACAGTGTGGTCATTCATCCGCTTGCACAGAGAACTCCACCGAAGGTAGATTCCCTTCATCTTCATCCATCAGCCACAGGGCGCGAGCTGCTCTGCCACACATACACTGACAGGAAGCTTCATCAGAACCTGTTTGTGCCGCCACATAAATCACAACACTCAGATAATGGCCTACATGGGTCATATTCTCCACTTTGTAGCATTTTATTTTTCTAATAATGAAGTTAGAGTTAAGGAAGGACCTATTATTCTTTTGTGAATTTTCAACTTTCTTTAGTGTGTAATGTTTGAGCTTGAAAAAGGTCTGTAAAGTTACAAAGCACAAAGTCACTCCAAAGTGAACTCCCTGAAATGCCTGGATTATAATCTTGAGTTTTCTTCCTGGAACATACACATCACAATATTCCTCATTTAAGTGATTCCTGCCCACGGCATACGCAAAAGGGTCATGGCCTGGTTGAGTTTCATTAGTAGTGTGTTAAAACGTACGGTTATAGTAAGGGGCATGACATTTCCAAAACTCATTTGAAATGGTTGACCAATCAACACACATTAATTCAACACAGTCGACCAATCAGATCAAGTTGCACTTATTTGGAAGGAGGGGCTTCATAGACAGTTCCCGCCCCCTTTTTCAGCAGCGCTGGTTCCAGAAGTATTTTTCCCATAGGCATTTTAAAAAAAAAAGTCATGTTAAAGAGTTGTAAGCCATGAACCAATCCAATCAGCTAAGAGGTGAATCATAACATTACAAACTATGATTTGAAAGTAAAAAAGTTTTTGAAAATCGGACAAAAATACAAAGGTACAAGACTGTGTACTTAACGGCTTTAGTGAAGGAAAGAACTACAATCCCATGAAGCATTGCGAAGAGCATAACCAAATCGGGGGAAAAAACGATGGAGAAATATAAAACTTCTCATGTACAAATGTATGTGTGTGTGTGTGTATATATATATAAACAATATATTTTAAGTTTATTGAAAAATATGCATATATATAAAAAATTAAGTATTTTGAGAGCCTAGAGAGATCGACTCGATTACGTCATTCGCAGTGCTTCATGGGAGTGGGCGGAGCTAAAGAGATCTTTTTTGTTTGTTTGTTTGGTTGTTTTTTCTACTGCACCTTTAAAAAAAAATTCAAGAAATAGGTTCAAAATTCTGTCATCATTTACTCAACCTTCTTTACGAACAAATGTTGACATGCTCATGTCTAACTCTTGATGTAGGTGATAATTGTGGCTCGGGTTCTGAGGAGGCCTGTTCCTCTGTCTCTGATGATGCCTTATTCCTGGAGAAACTCAAGCACATGGGCAAATGTAAGAGAACGCAGACCTAAAGCGTAAAACTTATCAAATTGCTTAAGCTCTCATCCCATTCTGACCACTGTATTATTACCTACAGCTACAAGGAAGAAGCTTTTTGAAATTGCTAGGTCATTCTCGGAGAAGACCAGAAGGAAGAAGTCCAAAAAGCGAGGTCTACCCAAACATCAGTCATATCCTCATATGTCCAGCCCAGACAGTCGCTGCGTGAAGTTAGCATCTATGTATGTTGTGTAAAGGAGGAGTTCTTACATTTGTATTTCTGGATCTTTCTTAGTCTAGCTGTTAGCTTCATGCTAATGTGTGTGTCTAAATATGATTATTTGATCATGTAGCCTATTGTATGAATGCCCAAAGTTAAAAGTGCTAGTTTTCAAATTAATCTTAGAATTAGCTATATGGCATTGCAGTATTAAACCTGTAGTGTGTTTGTTCCTTGACTTCCTCTCAGTCTGGGCTCTGCAAACTCCACCATCAATCTCCTGGATGAAATAGAGGGGCCGCTGTCAGGTAAATATTCTCCTTATCTCAATGTAATGGCACTGCATGGATGCATAATATTTGGTGAAACCTTGTAAAGTGAATGTGTGTATGACTGTGTTTGAAAGCTGAGGACAACAACCAACTCAAGAGGCTTTCAGGAAGAGAGGAAAGGGAGGAATCAAAGGAAGTGATGTCATGGTAAGTGCACACGTACAAGCTAAACACCATCAAAGATTTAGATAATTGGTATTAAATCTATTTATATATAATAATAAGTATAATATATCAAATGTAAAATATCTTTTATGTCCACCTTAGCATAAATTGCAGCTATATAATAAAATGTTTTATTCCTTTACCCCTTTTGAAATTCTCAGAAAGTGACAAATTTTTCATAAAAAAATTTATTTGATGATCACTACACTTTAGATTTAGATAATTGCTTTTAAAGCTATAACAATATTTTTTCTATATTGATAAAAAAGTTTGGGGTCAGTAAGATTTTGTAATGTTTTTGAAAGCCTCTTATGCTCACCAACGCTGCATTTTTCGAAAATACTGTAAAATAGTAATAGCTATTTAAAATAACTGTTTTTATATATTTTAAAATGTAATTTAAATCATTCTAACATGCTGATTTGCTGCTCAAAATAACATTTATTATTATTACAAATGTTGAAAACAGTTATGCTCATTAATATTTTTGTGGAAACTGTGATTAATTTTTTCAGGATTTTTTCTGAAATAGTTCAACACAATTCATTTTTCAACTGAAAATGGAACTTTTAATGACTTCTGCAGTCCCCCTGAATCCCTCACAACAGCACAAATCTACAAAACAGGTGTAGTCTCAAGCACACCTGATGCAGCTAATCAAGGGCTTCATTAGTTGCAACAGGTGTACTTGAGTTAGAGCACATGAAAGATGTGAACTGGCTTTGTTGAGAGCCATATTTCTAACATGTAGTCAAATGTGACAAAGTTAAAAGAGTGGTCCAAAAAAATAAGAGAAGATATCACCCTCCACAAACAAGGAACATGATACAAAACGATAGCGAAGGCCAGTGGCGTCACTAGGATTTTTATTTTAGGAGGGCTAAGCCCCCAATATGATTTTTAAAAAAATTATAAAAAAAGGTAACACTTTAGTTTAGGATCTAAAGATCACTATTAACCATTTTCATTACGATGCAAAGGCACGGTTTTATAATAACTGTGGTCCCAAATGTGAGGTAGGAAAATTTTGATTTCTCTGATCTACATTTGTGCATTTTAAGATGTTCTGAAGGCCAAAAAACTTGGATAGTGGGCAGCTGATAATTTTTCTCTCCTCATCAGCATCACACTCTTTTTCTCTTTGTTTTTATCTTGCCCTGTCTCTTCTTCTTGATTTTGCCTATGAATCATTTTCTCAGATGCGTTTATTTACTGAAAGCTACTAAAGGTAATTAAGTTTATTAAATCCATTCACAATATGTAGGCTACACATTCATTATTGATCTTATGCCTAATACAGGGCCGTAGACAGGGCTTTATAATCACAGAGGTCCTAAATTTGAGGTTGGTAGAGGGGGTTCAAATTTTTTATTTCTCTGATATGTGCATTTCAAGACGTTTGAAGACCAAAAAAAAAAAGGATATGAAATAGCTTTAAAGTCCCCGTGAACCGGAAGTTGCAAACGACTTTTCTCCAGTGTTGTGACGTATTTCCGAGAGAAACGGAAAATACTAAATGAGGCAAAATGGTGGGCGTGGCTTTTTCCCCAACTAGCACCTGATTGGATCTAGAAAAGTAGGTGTTTTCATTCAGTCTGTCTACTGTCAGTTGGAGGGGCGTGATTACGGATGTTAAGAAGACGCCCAAACCGTGAAACCTACGTCATCAGGCAAGGTCCTCCAACGCAGAGGGGAGGGGAAATTTCAGATTTTGATGAAAGATTACGAAGCCAAAAAAATTTTGTGTGTGGATTGACTTGCATGGATGAATTGTTCACCACAAAACGATCAATTTAGGCAAACAAAGTAAGTATGGTCAATTTTGAATTCATGGGGACTTTAAAACCATGTCAGTGGGCAGATTATTTGTCAATACCTGCTCTCTTCTCATCTCCATCACTCTTTCTTTTTTTCTCAGTCTCTTCATCCCTTTCTCTTCCCCTCTTAAAGCTGAGCTTTTTTAATTTACTAAAGGCTACAATTTGTATTATATTCTCAATATGTACAGATTCATTATTAATCTTGTGCCTAACATGATTAAAACGGCTTTGTTTATGTTTCTTGTAAACTAATTATTACATTACATCAGTCACGTTACATAGGCCTATTTTCAGTTCAAAATGGCAAAATTAGACAAAACTATATTAGTTTGCCTGATTATTTTTTGTCATTCGTTTAACATTTATGACCTAAAAAAAAGTAAAATATGGAATGTTAAGTTTCGCACTGTTAAAATTCGCGCTCAGCAGCGTCTGTGAACATAAAGCCCGCCTACTTTGATTTGATTGGTCATCTCAAATATTCTGACATTGACGAGCAGTGACAGACCAATGAGGCTCAATGAACACACATACATGAACACACACCTGTCCTCTGTTTCTGACGTGCTCTCTGCTCGGCGCCGCTGCGGATTGAAGATGAAGAACGCGCTGAATTTGATTATAACAAGACTGAAGCGAACACGAATTTGTGTAGCCTACATTAATCTCACATTTTTAGGGGGGCTGAAGCCCCCCAAAAAAGGGCCTAGCGACGCCCCTGGCGAAGGCACTAAACGTTGGAAGCATAGTTTGCAAGTTCAAAGTGAAAGGAACAGTGGTTACACTACCTGGACGGAGCAGAAAAAGGAAGATATTAACGGCTGCAACCAGATTTCTGAGAATGCGGTTCAGAAAAACCCTCGAGTGACTGCAAAAGACCTGCAGCAAGACTTGGTGGCAAAAGTGACTGAAGTTTCAGTTTGCACAGAAAGGCGCATATTAATGCATGCGGTTTCCATGCCAGAACTCCAAGTCGTACACCACTACTGACCCAAAAGCATGTGAAAAGTGCTCAAAATCATATAAATAAGCCAAAGAAGTTTTGAGATTCTGTTCTGTTAAGCAATTAAACATTTCAGAACTTTTCGGCCCTATGGATCAGTGATATGTCTGGAGGAAGAAGAATGAAGCATATGTTGAAAAGAACACACTGTCTACAGTTAAGCATGGTGGGGCTCGCTGATGCTCTGGGGTTGCTTTGCATTCTCTGGCACTGGAAACCTGCAGCGTGTGGAAGGCAAGATGGATTCATTGAAGTATTAGGAAATCCTAGTAGAAAACGTCATGTAAAGTAAAGGAAGCTGATGCTTGGGCATCATTGGACCTTCCAACAGGACAATGATCACAAGCATACCTCAAATTCCACCAAGGCTTGGTTGCAGAGGAAGTCCTGGAAGATTCTACAGTGGCCATAACAGTCACCTGACGTGAACCCCATAGAAAATCTCTGGTGGGATTTGAGTATCTGGTATTGGTAGTACCTGGATGGGAGACCTCCTGGAAAAACTAGGTTACCGCTGGAGGTGTTAATGAGGGGGTGCTCACCCTGTGGTCTGTGTGGGACAGGGACACTACTGTCAAAAAGCACCGTCCTTCGGATGAGACTTTAAACCTAGGTCCTGACTCTCTGTGGTCATTAAAAATGTGTAACCCCGGCTTTCTGGACAAATTTGCCCATTGTCCCCATCATGGCCTCCTTATCATCCCTATATATATATATACTGATTGGCTTCATCACTCTGTCTCCTCTCCACCAATAAGCTGGTGTGTAATGGGCGTTCTAACGCAATATGGCTGTCGCCGCATCATCCAGGTCGATGCTGAACATTGGTGGTGGTTGGGGAGATTCCCCCCTTCTTTGTAAAGCGCTTTGAGTGCTGAGAAAAGCGCTGTATAAATGTAATGAATTCGGGGTTGAATAATTTTGAGACTGCAGAAGTCATTAAAAGTTGAATTTTCAGTTGAATTTGGGGAAAACACTTGAAACATTTGTTGTGTTGAGCTATTTCAATTACTTTTGTTTGATTTGTTCATTGCAAACAGCTGAATGTCTACATTTTGCCAATAAACCTGATTTGCAATTGGGGTTGAATCATTTCGATTACAACAGTGTACATGTATTAATTGACATGTTTTTGTATGATCTTTTACAGATGGATAATGGGCGGAGCAGCCAATTTTCTCTGCATTTAAAAGCTAAAGCATCATGAAGATCAAGATTTTACTCATTAGTTTCCTGCAATGCTTAATTAAACCTGAGCCATGAAATCATCATAGTTTTTTTGTTTGTAATATTCTGGTTCAACAGTCTCTCTTGTAGTTTCTGACTGGCATGATCAGGTGGTGTTAAAAAGACTGCTTTGTCGGGTCGGTGCTCACGCTGTGCAGGGACTCAGGAGTCAGAACATCCACAAGCACAAAACCCCATTAGTCAGCTTGATAAGAAAATCTGTGTTTATCTCAGGAGAATTTAAATGGCATGGAACCCATGCCATGTTTTAGAGATAATCCTCTTTCCATTTCTCATGATCTTATTTGATAGATGAGATATTACTTGATACCTGGGTTATTGATTAAAAATTAGTTCTCAGATTTAGTTGCAATGTTGATTTGTTTTCAACCAGCTCACTATCTAAAATCATGCTTCAAGACTTCATTTCACCATTCATTCCTGAAATGAACATTCCTGATTTTATTCTTAGTGTGTGAAGTAAAATCTGGTTGTGTGTATTTACGCTGGGATAGTAAATATTAAAACTAAATTGTAATCATTTTCAAAGTTTAGGGCTGTTAGCTCACTGTAAATTGCTATTGATTTTCAAATGATCATTTTGTTTGTTATTAAATAAATTACATTATGAAACCAACACGTCCATGTTTGTTTTTATTATTAAATTTATGTATAAATTTACATAAACCCCGCCCCCGGGAAGCGATATTTTTTTTCCCAGGATGGGGATGGTAGGGGTGTTACCCAAGGGGGTTGTCCATCGACCGGAAGTTGAAGCCGGACGGGTGCCGCCATGTTGTAGCAGAACTTCACTTGCGTTAGCATTTCCATTGACTCCCATTCATTTTTGCGTCACTTTGACAGCGAATAACTTTACATCTGAGGCGTTTAAAGACTCCATTTGTCCATTATTTATTTCTAAAGAAACACGACAATGTATAAAGGGCTCCATTACCTTCTATGTTACATTATGGCCCCGTAGAAACAGATTTAGTAAAAATAGGCTAACGATTGCGTCATAACCACTCGACTCTCTGTCGCGCTGTACAGAAGTTACCGTACAGACAGGAGGAGAAGCTCGCAGGCAATCGGGGGGATGTCCCGTCAAGGGAGAAGCCCATAGATAATGAGTCCATAAAAGCAACGGAATTCTTACTCCTGCTCACTCACGCCAAAGAACTCTTTGCTCAAGTTCCCCGTCTCTGCAAGATTAACGTTGGCAATTTTCACGCAGTTTTCACGCACAGCTACTAGAAGAGTAACGTCTGCCAGACAGGTTGCTTACGTCATCAAGCTTAGTTTGAGTCGGTCTGAGTCTGCGCGTCAGGAACGGAAGTTCTCAAAAATCGCTAAAAGTGGAGAAGTGGGCTTCAACTGTCTCAACTGAGTTCCAATGAGATCGCTCTGTCCATTTCTTTTACTGTCTATGGGTGTTACGTCTCCTGAGGGGAGGAAAGAAAACGCTAGCACGTAACAGGGGAAGACTCATGAATATTCATTAGGGAACTCATCCCTGATTGGTCTGATGACTTACCCCTAACCCCGCCCCTAAACCTACCCGTCACTGGGGTTAAGACCAATCAGGGATGAGTTCCCTAATGAATATTCATGAATCTTCCCCTACCATCCTGGGAAAAAAAATATCGCCGGGAACTATATTTATAGATTATCATGACAGAATATGCTACTCAGTGAGTAAGATAACTACACATAAGCTACATAAATTCATCAATAACCATTCAGAAATGTTGTTGTCACTTCTTCTTGAGTCTCTCCATCCTTGTCTGACTCCGGTTTGAACATAAAAGACTAAAAGTTTTTGAAATGTTCAGGTCTGTGTGAGGTAATTGAAGCTGCAAACACACAAGAGCTCTTGAAACTCCCTCTGTGCCGGTGTTCTGACGATTCATGCTACCCATCGAGATTTGCTACTTACTGGTTATGCGCATGTGCAGACTCAGTTTTTTTTTAACAAAAGGTAAATTTTCATGTGTTTTAAGTAATTCCCCTTTTAAAAATGTCAACTACTACCATATGAATATTTGTACGGTCAGTCTTTCAGTTACTAAGGAAAGGTGTGCTTTAACAAGTCAAAGATGAATATTTGATGATAATTTTTACTTTTCATACCGTTTTAAAAATAAAAACAGTAGTTTACAGTATACAGTAGCTACTCATAACTTAGAATTGTGTTATAATTGTATTTCATTTAATATTAATCGACATTCTGTGATCGATTCGCGCAACGGTAGCATTTTTCGACAATGCAGCACAAATCGTCAGAACACCTGAAGCAGCAGCTCATTTACATTTAAAAACCCTCAAAAAGTAACAATTTTAACATGCTATATAAAAATATCCGTGGGGTATTTTGAGCTAAAACTTCACATACACCCTCTGGTAAACATTTATCTAGCAAGGCTATTTTAATAGCTACATATATTATAACTCGTTACGTGATAGATAGACAAGTCAACTTTGAGGAAGGATGTGATTTAAAGGGATAGTTAACTTAAAAATGAAAATTCTGTCAGTTACAAGTTGTTCCAACCCTGTATGTTCTGTTGAACACAAAAGACACGGACGTAAAAATCAACAAACCACAGTAAATGTACATATGCATAAATTAAATATAGGCCTAAAGTTGTTGATAGAAATGTATGTACCTAATTTAGTTTAAATTAATGTTGGTATATTGGTGAACTCGGTGGTTTGTAACACTTTATTTTTACTGCGCCATCATATTTGACCTAGATCATAGCCTGCCCTATATGATTATGACAAACAAGCTTATGCTGTGGAAATTGCTGTAACTGTCCAGTAGATGGAGCTATACACCAGTTTACTGCTTAATGTTCATCTCAAACTGATTTTTATTTTTTCAGTCGCAATCTGTCATTCCTGTGATAGATGACCATTATTTTGTTTCTAGACACAGCCTAAATACCTGTAGGGCCCCTGGGAGAGCTAGCTAGCTGTGGGTGCTCACGTGTCCGAGTGTTTCTGCTCATTGTGTGGTGTCTGCAGATTGGGATTTATTTATAGCCATGCCTGTCTACCTCAAAGCCCCATAATGCACCACTCCCAGATCCTCCAACTGGTGGCCTTTTTACCTAGGTCTCTAAAATAACCTAAAATCTGATCTCACAAAACAAAAATAGAACAAAGGCACACACCGCACAACCTGCCCCACAGACACAAACATTCTGAAGTCTGACTGAAAAGACGTGTCAGTCAGGTACTTATTGATAGCCTGTGTCACGGATGATCTCTGCCATCAGATCCCCCACAATCCAATTTAATCTGCTGTATCCTAGGAAAGGATTCCTCAGTCTGACCAATAGAGTGTCAGTATCTGAGGACACCGTCGCCAGGTGGAAGCTGCACTTTGTCTGTAGTAGGCTACTTTTTTTAGTTTTTCTTTTTTGGCTTAGTTCTCTGAAACTTTCTCACATAAATGACCTAGTCCTAGTTTAGAACTTGCTTTACTTTCAAATTTTTTTTTAATTCTTAGAGTCTTAAGAATGCAATAAGATTAGCTAAACACTAAACTTGCCATGCTAGCTTTGGAAGCGGTTACGGTAATAAAGATTCTTCTGTCTGCATGGAGTTCCTGTGGTCATCATGGAGCAGATGTACACCTGACACTCTAACTGGTGAGAGAAATTCAAGTTTGACATTTAGACACCTTTTATTTTTTATTTTGAAAAAAAAAGAAAAAAAGTCTGCTTTAGCTTTGTACTACTCTAGATAACTCTTAAAGGGATAGTTTATCCAAAAATGAAAATTCTGTCATCATTTACTCACCCTCATGTCGTTCCAAACCTGTACGACTTTATTCTTCTGCAGGACACAAAAGAAGATATTCTTAAAAGAATGTCTCATACAACATGTTTTTTGGCCTGTACAATGAAAATCAATGAGGTCCAATGTTGTTTTGGAAACCCATTGTCTTTCATTGTATCAGTGTTGTAAAAAAATAATATATATATATATATATATATATATGTTTTTCTTAGGACATTTTAAATGTTGTCTTGGCAGCTAACTGAAATAAATAAGTTTAATTTGAAGTAGGCTACTAAAATGACTAAAATTGATATAAAAATTAAGAAACACATTTTTTAAAACTAAAAATGACAAAGGCACATAATAAAATTAGTCAAACTTAAAGTAAACTAAAAATGAAAATGTAAAAATGAAAGCTAATTCAAAGCATTAATAAATATATAAAGTATAAATAATACTAAAGCAACACTGCATTGTATGAACAAAAACACATATTCTTCAAATTATCTTCTTTTCTGTTTCATAGAAGATAGAAAGTCATACAGGTTTGAAACGACAGATGAGTAAATGATGACAGAATTAAATTTTTGGCAGATATACCCCTTTCAAATTTGTACTGCTCTGACTCCTTAATCATATTACTTGTGTTTGTCCTCATTTATAAGTTGCTTTTGATAAAATCACATGCTACATCAGTAAGTGTAATCCTGATACATCACAATGAAGTATTTGAGTCAGTCTGCTGAATGTGAGATGAGGAAAAACTGTGCATAAGTTATGCATGTGTGTGCTTTTCAAATGTATCAGATGAATGATCAAAACCTGCAAATAAGCTATATGCAAATGTGAAATTGATATAGATAAAATCAATACTATATTGCCACAATTTGTGAAAGAAAAGAATGACATATCTGGTCATATTATGTCTCATTTTCAATACATTACACTCATGATGTATAATTTGAGGCCTTATTTTACTCAACTGCGACTTTATTTCTCATATATTTACAATTGTGAGGACTTTCTCATTGTTTGGACATTAACTCACAACAATTTGGACTATACAATCCGTCCTTGCAAACCGGACCTCAGCGGACACTTTGAATAATGTTCTGTCACTGAGATGTGTGTTGGGGAGGACGTAGTGTGTTATGCAGCACCCAGATGGAGAGATGGAGGACAGATGGAAGGATAGAGAGAGAGAGTGAGATGGAGGACAGATGGAAGAGGAGGTGAGGTTTGGAGAGTGACTCAGCAGTCAGATTGAGCGTTTGATGTGAGGGAACATCACACCCTCATTGAGATGAGAA